AAAAAGTAAACTGTTTACCACATTCTCATTGAAACTAAATGTGCAACAAATTTTTATTTGTTTTTTTTTTTTAATCTAGAAAATATTTGACACGTTTAGACTTTATATTTCAATCTTTCATAATACACTTATAATTGTGTAGCGCAAGCTTACCTGGAAATTTTTATTATTAGTTGAAAACACCTCCCCCCAATGTGTGTGTAATAAAATAAGTGGGCCATACAGAGAAAAAAAAAAGACTAACGAAGCATTGTACACCGCACCGATTGCTTTTACTACTGCTTCTAAAAAGTTGTGCACTTAATGTACCTATGAAGCCGATGAACTTTTGCCCATCCACATAAGAAAAACGCGTACTGGATTTTTCCTTTCATTTCAAGCACCTGGAAATACGTATTAGGCGAATGACCGCGATAAGTTTTCGATTCGATTGACGTAGATTCATCATTTTAATTCCTCGGCAGGTTGTCGTCTATTATTTAAATGTCTCTGCTTACAAAAATTGTTTGTTTTATTAATCAACCCTAAAAAAATCTCAAAATGACGATCGGCCCAGGTCCACAATAACATTATGAGCAGCAATTCCATGGACTGATATAGACATAATGTCCTTAACAAAAAAATTTCAAAAGATAGCTGACGCCAGCATAAACATATTAAAATATAGTATACTCGCTATTTTGGATGAATGCTTACGCATAAAAAGGCTGTTCTATAAATGGGCGCTAGTTTACTCTTTACCGATGAACTCATACTGGGGCAAATATATCAACATGTTACTGTCTGCAAAATTACACGAACACAAGTTCGAACTGCTACCACATTCTGCAGATCGTAGCGACTATTATCTGCTTCCATTCCCTTTCCCTCTTCAGATGATTACAGAAACTGAAACTCTTATTGAGGGTTTCGACAAATCGTTCTACAATATTCTTTAACTTTTGCAATTTCGGGGAAGCATTGGAGTGATTATATTACTTGTAAAGCAGAATCCCAAAAAGGATGACCATATTCCTCCTGATTAAGTCAAATTTTACATAAAATAGTTGCCTTCTTCATTAACCAAGAGAATTGTTAACCCATGCATTAGTTATAAGTTATAATCGTTTGTCCGTCTGTCTTGTTTAGTTTAGTCTTAATTACATTTAAACAAGTAAAAATATTATAATCGGATAAAACCGAGCTTACAGCACTGCACAGTACTTCGTTTAATATAATCCTTCATTTCTTTTCTTGATGACATACGCAAAAACTGTACCTTTTCATGTAACGGGGAACTTTTGATATGAGCCTTTTTACCAAAACGGTCCTAAACGTAGGGTTTATGTGGTCCAAATTTGGTAAAATTTATTTTCTTCGCCAAGACTTTATTATTTTTTATCTATTTTACTACCTACTGAAGTCAAACGTTGTCGTCACATAAAGGTTTACTTTTCATAGGAAACTATGCATGGAATGAAAACTAGAAAATATATCCCCGTGGCCCAAACTTGGTATAATTCATTTTGAAATCAAACAAACGCTGTGGATCAATTTCCATTATCAATATCAAAAATTAGACTCTAAGCGTAACGTAGACTTAAGCGCAATATAAACTTTTTTTCTCTATAGGACATCTTGCATAAAGAGAGGTCCGAACAACAGACTTACGCTTCATATGCGGTGCAGTTAATATTTGTATCAAATTTATGTGAAGGACAATTTTCATTAGAAAATTTTAAAAATTAGAGCTTATTACCTTGTGATCGCTAATTTCTTGTATTTTGGCTACATGGCAGATAGTTCAAAAAATTGAGGCATCCGATCCAAATTTTTCATATCAATTTGTCATGCCGCGCCGCTAATATTGAGCGAAGTTTGCAAAATCTTTTATATGACATATTTTCTAGAACAAGGCTTTATATGGTAACTGATTGTAAAAACGATCCGATACAATGCCTTTTCAATAGGAATCGTGTTTGGATCAAATTACGTCAGTGTATCACACTTTGTCAAAATATATCCAAAATTGCGACTTTGTGGATTGAACACGAGAACACATGTACAGACATCAACGACAACGGTGGACAGCAGGACAGATATGCCTAAATAAGTTCCCAATATGATTCTGATTCGATCTTTACAATAATTGAGGAGAATTAATAAATATTGTGCAAAATCACGTTAGATGTAGGCGTGGAAACTGCCTCAATTGGGTTACTGACATGCCGAACAAAGTAATTCACAAACTTTAAATATTGGGTTGAGAAGACGTTTAATAAAAAATTGCTGTTAGGCGATTACGTCTGGCTTACTTGCTTAGTTTATGATTACTTCTACTCCAGTTCGAATCAGTTTTCGAATTAAAACAAAAGACTATAAAACTATACATTTCTCGTGGGAAAACCTTTAATTGTCTACCACTTTTAATATATTTTTCTGCTTAATATATATATAAAGCAAAAGCTTCATTTTCTCTCTCGTCCCACATATGCATTAGCAAATTGTAGTTTAGGCTATACGCGGATATAAATACAAATTTTTGCGATACATTTTCCACTTTTTTCCACTAAAATTCCTTATTAAGTGTCACTAATGCTTAGGAAAAGCACTTTAAAATAGTTTACCCGAGTATAGCGACAAGGCAATGAAATAAATAGAAATTATTTATAAAAGATTGTCAGATTTCAAGTCTTCTAAAATGAATTATAAACGAATCATCTAAAATCAATTTTATTTACGTTTGAAAATTGATTGTAATTGTGTGTTATCTGTCAAATTGAAAAACAAGTGAACTGTTGAGAATTTTTAAACTAGAAACTAGAACGACAATATCAAATAAAATGGAATTAGAATATCTAATAGCATATAATTAACGAAATTACGGGAGAAACGAGAGAGAGAAAAGCAGGATATTTTATATATATATATATATATATATATATATAGGTAAAATATTAAAAAAAAAAAAAATGACTTACTTTTTACTTTAATTTAGAGTGACTTCTAGGTACCCCTTTTATGGCTTTTAGAAGCCTGCGAGTTATCCAAATCACAAGCTTTACAAATTTTAGAAAGTCTTTAATAACTACTTTTAACTTCTACAAGTGCTATGTTAAAGTTTTTTTGAAAAATACAACGGTATTAAAAAGAATAAACGACTTTAATGTGTCTAGTGACCGGTGTGGAAATGAACAAGCTATCTAACTTGCAAGTGTACGAGAGACAAAAAAATTATAAAAATTAAATGACCATTAAATAATTAGGTTGGAAGGAAAATTCACTCGTACTTTCAACATAACGAAATAATCCGTAAAAAGTGTATACGAGAGTGTCTAGTGACGTAATCACCAAGTACAGTTGCGTACGAGTGATTTATCAATTAATTCCTTTTAGACAAAATTTCTGCAGAAAGTGTTGAACATTTTAACACCAGGTAGGGGTACATAACAGAAGCTTGGGCTAGGTTGAAGCATAAGTCGACTTCTGTGCTTAAAGCGAAATTTTTCTTTCGTGAAGTGAGAATAGTTAACAAAGAACATGTCCCTCAATAAGTTAGCAGGACGTCATATAAATGTCGCCACAATTAGTGAATTTACATGATTTTTAAATATTACTGACCTACAAACGGAATGTGTCAACATTTCATGAACTTTTTGGCATTTAGTCTACGGGTTACAGGTGGGTATGTCAACAGTGTTGCCATACTTATGGCAAACGAAAGAGACTTATTGAGTGATATATAAATTCAGAAGAATTGGGGAAAGAATCGCATCTTTTATCGGTTCGGTTCGATGATAATCTCATTGTCCTTTATGAGGAGAACAAAAAGTTTTCTTTTCCAGCTTCTAGGGTTTTAATTGGGGTAGGGGACCAATACAATCGACCGGATACAGGCTTGTTATCTTCATTAATGCTTTTAATTTATCGACCGAGCTACTAATTCGATCCTCTTATACTCTTGACCTCTTTATTTGATAAATTCCCTTCTCGCTTTCAAATCTTCTTTTCTCGTTCTCTGCCTATTCTCTTTCGGCGAAAGGGCGCGGATATTAAAATGAATTCCTGGTGCGGTGCTAAGTCTGAAGCAAGTTTTTCTCCACTTGATGTTCCTATCCAATAGTGTGTGTTTTATATAAATTTTATATATGATCCGCATAACTAGCCGAGCCGGCAAGAATCGCGACTACAAAGTCATGGTTCGCTGATTCAAATTTCAAGTGCGGTAACTACAGCGAGTGCACACTCAACAAAGCGATCGCGCTTACCGATAGAGCACACACGCATAAGCCTGTGGCCTTCCTTCCTCTTTCTCTTTCCTTAATTCTTTCTGACCGTCACCATACTACACGAACAGCAGACATCCCCTTTGAGTGGTAATATATATTAAATAAAAATAAAAAAAAGCTTTTGTGTAGAAGGATCTAATAAAAAGCAGCTTCAAGGCAAATGCCAGGACCCGTATATATCTTAGTAAACTAAAATTTCAGTTTCTTCCATCTCTCTTTTAACTATTAAATCTGATTTATTCTTCATCATAAATCATTCATTAATATTATCGATCGATGATAGAAATTTCCATCCAACCTAATATACATTGACACATTCATGTTTGAAAAGGGGTAACGGAGTTACTATTGAGGTTTTCATAGAGTTCATTTATTCGAAATTAGAATGCATGCCAATGACATACCATAGTGAACTTTTAACGTTCGATGGTTAACAAAAGACGGGTAAATTAAAAACAAAAAAAAAAAAAAAAAAAAAAATGAAATGAAAAGAAAAGAAAAGGAATAAATAAATAAAAAAGGAAAAATATATGTAAAATGTAGAAGGAAGGAAATACACACTTAAACTTAATGACAATGGATTTCTAGTTGGGAAATATGTAACCAGATATAACGCAAAATGCAATAAAAATGACTGAAGAGTGTGAAATTACGAGCATTCAATAAAATCGTGAATCAAATAACTATAAAAAGTGTTTGTTCAAAAAAAAAAAAAAAAAAAAAAAAAAAGAGTGCAGTAAATATTTATGTGCATTTTTATATTAGACATCGTTTTGAAAAAACATTTCGTACTTTAAGGACAACGAAGCATTGCAAGTAAAGGAAATAAGGAACAAAAAAAAAAAAATAAATAAACAAAAAACCAAACTGACCAGGATATGTAAATGATGGGAATATTTTTAAAAGCGGATGTGCTTTTATGGAAATGAATTTCGCGTACGTCGTAATACTTCGCTAGTGTTCGATTTTCATATATATATATCTTTTCGGTCGGTATTTTATTAAAATTGATATTTAAAATATGCCACCAAAACGCCGACGACGCTTTCAAGGAATTTATTATCATTCATCGCCACCAAAAGGTAAACTTTTTCTTCTTCCTTCTCCTCATTACAATTTACATTTGAAGTAATTTTTTCTTTTTCGTACATTTTTTTAATTGATGTTTTAAGTGTTTGCTGATGACACTATAACACGCTAACTATTATGCGATTCATTATATACTTGTGGAGAATTTCATTAGCATAAAAAGGTGTAGTTTGCGTGTTTTGTTATTCGCTTGTCAATTATGCTTTATATTGTTAGTGTTAGTATGAAAAATATTAGGCATAATAAATTCTTATAACAAATGATAATTTGCTGCTTCTGCTTATTAAGATTTTTATGATAATTTCTTTCGAAGGGAGCAACAAGTCATTTTTACTCAGCGGTCTATCCATTATCGTTGCATTAGCGATATGAAAATTTCTTGATTCTACTTGCAACCTAACACCAGTGTAAACACTACTGCGGTTACTATTGTACGGTATATACATATATTATAGTGCGAAAGGTAGGAAAGCTTAATCATTTAAAACGTTCAGTGTCATGCAAATGAGTGAGTTTTCTCCTTATATACTTTAATGACAAAGGCTTGCTTGTTTTCATTTAAAAAATTGTATCTCTTGATTCGTCTTTATCTCTTGAAACTGAGTATCTTTTTTGTCTTTTTTATTTTTGCTATACTAGTTAGAAGCCGCTCAAGCAATTAAGGAAACAAATCAAGCGATTAAAGAGATTGCAAAACGATATGAGTTGAAATTGTGGTAAAAAAGGACTCGAAGTGTTAATATCATCCGGGAAGGTGTTTTGTCGTGATACAAAAACCAATACTTGTCTGCCCATAATTCATGGCTTTAATGCTATGAAAATATATATAATATTCTGTAGGCCTACGGAAGAAACTCTTAATACAGTACACCGGGGTAATCGAATAAAGACCTTATCTTAACACATTTCAACCATAGTAGTAGGTGCTTGCATATCTCTTGATCTGCGACATCTAATTGCGAAAATGATAAGGTAATGCAAAGCATTACATTAATATATGCAACGACATTTTGATCTTTCTCTACATAAATTAAGAGTTTTGCATTAATTAGGACTTTCCGTTAATTTAGGCGAGCGACTTTTGCAGATAAAAATGATAAAGTAATGCGAAATAACAAAGTACATTATGGTTAATTTCGATGATTTTAACTTCTCTCTCTCTCTCTCTGCATAAAATAACTCTTATCCATTTAATATTGTTGATTCATTCAGCTTACGCTGACGCCAACCATGGAGCACTCAAAATTGCACATTCGACCTTCATCACGTTTATTGTTTAATTTGAAGAAATCCGCCGCTGAAGCTCACCAAGCACGTTCAGATGTTTATGGTGATGCTGGTCCATTGTGCCCCAATTGGCGGTTTACAAGTAGTGATCTTGATGTCAATGACAAAGAATGCCGTGGAGGAAACGTTCGAAGACAAGACTTATTGGACGAAAACACAGCTTAAACGCCCAAAGAAGCAACCGTTTCTATATGTTTACGTGCACATATGTTACAAATCGAAGCGGAATATCCATCCATTGCCACAACCTTTTACTGTGCATATTGTGGTATCAGCAAGGTGTAGTGTGTTAGGAGCTGCTAAAACCAAATTAAACTGTTATTGCAGATAGCTACTGATGTCAATTAAACAATTTGAACGATGCATTGTTTCAAAAAGGGACCAGCAATAGCGGTTACCAGATGCAAAGTCATTCTGTTGCACGAAAACGCTCGGTCACACGTTGTAAGAGTTGCCATGGATGCAGCTCAAGTGGGAAGTTCTGTTGCATCGAGCGTACTTTACTAGGCATAGCGCCTTCTCATTACTGCTTGTTCAGATCGATGCAGTATGGCATCGCTGGCACGCGGTTTCGGAATGCTGAAAAAGTACGAAAATCAATTGATGATTGGATCGGTGCGAAACCAATATCGTTCTTTGGACACGGTATCGACGCGCTAGATGAAGGTGTAGAAAATGATGAAAAATATTTTGACTAACATATATTATAGCAATTTTTCTCAATAAATGACTTTTTCAAGTGAAAAAATGGTCAGGATATATGCAAGCAACTATTGTACAGTAGACATTGTCTCTTCGCTTTCTGCTGCTGATTTATTTCCAATTTTTCAAGTCAAATTATTTACCTGAAATGTAGCGGTCGAATTTTTTATGCTCTTGCTAAAAACGACTAAGGATAAGGGAAAACGAAAAAACTACATATCCGCATTATATAATGTTATATTCAGTGTATTTAACTGATTTTTGCCATTTGTTTACAATATATATTTATGTATATATATAATTATAGAATTTCTGAAGCTTCTCTTAACATTTCATAATAGTGCGTAGACATTTTTATACAAGTACTGCTGGCCCACCCATAGAATATAAAAGCAAATTTTTGTCGTTATATCTGTGGTGGTTTATAAGCAATGAGCAAAAAGCAAAATTTGTTTTGAATTTTGAAAACAGATGTGACCTAACAGGTCAGGTTTCAATACCAACCAACGTGAAAAAATTTCCAATGTTTCTGCTAAATTTTAGGCGGATAACTTACTTTTTTATGATCAGGAGAAGGTTTACCACAAGCATTACGCAGGCAACGGCACGGACGGACATGCTTAAATCGGCTTAGAATTTGATACTGATCAAGAAAACATACACTTGATAGGAATATATCCCTCATTGGGTACAAAGAGGAAAATCATAAAAAAACATAATTATTGTTTTCTGCTTAGGAATATTAATAATATATTAGATCAAAGAATGCAGTGATAGTAATAATATTTCAGCATAAATTAACATAAATTCATTACATTTTTCGAGGGCTTTAATTGCGAACTTCGATTTCACAATTCTGGGATTACCACTTGAAAATACCCTAAACCATTTCACTCAATACTATTATTCACATAACAACTTTCCTAAGTGAGGTCGGATAAATCGGTAGTGGTCGGAAGATCGGTTCATCCGAATCACTTTCAATAGCGCTCGTTCTTGACCTAAAAGTTGTCGGTTTCAAGAAAACAAGGCAGACAAAAAGACGCAATGACGGCCAGACAAGCTTAGTTCGATGCAAAAAGTAATTCGACCGGTATACTAGAAGTCAGGTCTATCTCAAGTCGTTCCGGGTGTTGCATACATCGTCAGAAACTTTAAATCTTGCCCTACAAGTATTGTGGGGTATAACAAAGTACATTAAGTTAAATTGTTTTCTTCACACAAATGATAGTAACCGGTATGAAAAATCATTTAAAAAACTTTTATACAAAAAGCCGATTACTTTAACATTAATTGCAAGGATATAAGTATCTGACTCTTTACACCAAGCTTACACCTTGCAAACCGAAATATATATATTATAGAAATAGAATAGAAATTCCGTACCGAATGATCATCGTAAACACAAGTCTAATCTAATATATCTAATAAAACCAATCCCTTATCGTATTCCTTATGCGTTAGGCGTGTGTTATAAATTAGGTCAAGGAAACAGTTCGTTAGTGTTTCTGCATCCATGTTCTTCTATTTTAAATGAATTTTAATAAACCGAGTGCGTTCCATTTCGCCCGCCAAGTTTTTGCCGTATTAATGCAATTATGGTACCCTAGACCTTCAGGGTTTTATGGATGAAAAACTAAGCCAAATGATTTTCGTAAGGCTCTTCAAAGCCTCACTTACGCCATTAAGAAAGTTTTTCTGAAAATGAAACAAATAGAAGCCAGAAGGGGCATGGTCAAAATTGAGATGTATCAAAACTTCCACATCAGCTCATTTCCCTGATGAATCTTATTGACCAATTCTGGTTGCGTTGCCTGAAATGCATACTTTAAACGCATTAATTGGGAACAATATCAGTTAAAATCAATCAATCCTTCCCTTATCAATCTGCAGTTAGTGCACTTTCAGCCATTTTGGACGACGATCTCTTTTGCATGAGGATTGTCTTTCAATCATTCTTTATCAGTCACCGATTCGCGGACGGAAGTTAACTCTTCTAAATTTTTCACTTTTAGTTGATGTGACACCCATACGTTGGACAGCTCAAAACTCTTTGCTGGACAGCATCTAGAGAGAGCGTGCAGAGAATCGAGGTGACATTGTAAAATCCAGCAAACCTTTTTTTCTGAAACTACGTTCAGGAAATTATTACATCTTTTTTTTTTAAAGATCCAATTTTTCGGCACCGTCATAAAAACTCGAAGCCCTCAAAGTACATTTCATTCGAGTGCGGCTATTGAGTCGAGCATCATGTGGAAAAAAGTGCTGATACATTTATGTTGTTTGGCTCAGCTCAATCGAACGCTGCGTTCGTTTACTTTCCTCAGTTTACCTTCCAAGCGGAGGCGCAGTGGATATTCGCTTCTGCCCTTGACGATAATGGCATCCCTTGCCTGAATCATTGCACTTTGCGTTGTATCTAAATTTCGTCCCACGGCAGTGTCCAGCAACACTTCCCTGCAAGTGAAACAAAAAAGTTAATATATCCGTGCATTTCAGCATAGAATTCGGTTTATTCTTCAAAGTTCCTGGACACAGTTCGATCGCTTACCTTGACTATTTGAGACGGAAGGAGAAAGAGGTAAAACAGAGAAAAAAGAACAAAAAGAGATATAGAGAGAGAGAGGGAGAGAAAATGCATCTATTAAATTTTGGTAACTTTTTTCTAAGGCGGCCTGAGTTAACTTAAAATCTCAAAATAGCCAATACTCTCTGCTGAACGTTTCCGGCTTTTGCCAGCAAAATTCTACAATTCCATTTTCGTACGTTCTTATTAATCTATGACAGCCATAATAAAGTATAGTAAAAAATCTTTTGACAAAATTTGAAAGCAAATGTTCGCCTACATCTAAAATATGTTAAGCATATCCCAGGTTGTGTAAAAAGCGAAAGTAGTTTTTCTACTTACTAGCAGTTTCAATGTACTTACCGCCTACAAAGTGTACACATACTAATTTCCCTATTCCATTGGTAACATTGAATATATATAAATGTAAATGTAAAAGCTAGAGTAATCTTAGCTTTTAAAGTCTTTTAATATTTCCAGCTTCAATATCGTTTAACTTATTCAAAATGTTAAAGGACGCTGTCACGTGTGAATTGAAATTTATTGCAAGACAATTAAGTTTTTATTATAGAAAACGTTACTTCATTATAACAGTTATGTCGAATCGCCATATAACGTATTTGCCCCTTAAGCTTATGTAAATCTTTCATTAGATCATTATCAAGCTATTCTACATAAAGGCCGAAAAAATTAAAAGTTTTTTTTTTTTGATTTTTATTTTTTTTTTTTTCTTCTTTTAGCCTTTTTGTAAGAAAGAAAATGAAATATTTTCCAGAAACCATTTTATATGTGATTTAGTTATTGACCGGCTTTTGAAGTTAACAGAAGTTTCGTTTGAGCTTAAAGGAAATAAAAATTTTGGTAATATATACTATTAGAAAGGAGGTCATGCGTTGCTGTGTGTGTGTGTGTGTGTGTGTGTTGACTTTTATAACGAACAAATACACTCACGCTAAGGAAATTAGTAATTGTGATAATAAAGAAAAAAAATTAATAAAAAATTCTTCTCCTTTTTATTAAATTTCATTGCAGTATTTTCCATGAATGGACAAATATCAAACGGTCATGATCGGAAACGTAAGCGCGAAGTAGATGGTAAGTTTATTGATTTTTGTTAAATTTTCTTTTACAAAAAAAAAAAAAACCTCTTACGATTATATAAAACTAACTATAAAAAGAAAAAAAAAATCGCAGACTAATTGAAAAATATAGTATAATTGTAGTAAAAAATCGCAATGAATCATCTGTTGTTCATTTGCTGAATATAAGAAGAAGAAGAAAAAGCCTTTTTCAGCGTTTTTTCGAAATCCGTTTTTTCAAAACGGTTTAATAAGTGACCACAGCTTTCATTCTTCTAATTTCATTTTATTTTCAAAATAAGTTTTATTACAGAATTATCGATTACATTTTTTTTTTTTGTCGAAATTTAAGATTTTTTTTATTCAAACACTCGCCAGTTGCACAAAAAACTATTATTTTGAAATGCTTGAAATAGTTCTCCAGTTTAGGGTTTGCGGATTAATTGTTTTCTTTCTTTAAGTTTTGAGCTTGAGCACCAGCTACCTGCTCTTCCGCAGAGCCCCTTAAACTAGAGCTGGCTATTGAGAAAGAGGCTTCGATGTTGCCATTCTTTTTTCATAAAAAAAATAGTTTCTCTTTATGAATAACTTGAGTGTATGCTCGATTACATCCTCTTTCGCGAAAATACAATGCATTACAAATACAATAACTTCCAGGAACATTACTTTCCTACTACCTTTTCTTCCTTTTCTGTGTGCCAGCCAAGCAACAACGGATGATTTGCTTAGTTGAAGAAAAAAAAAGGCTTCAATGCGAATTATTTTTTCTATTATTGTGAAAAAATTTGTCAAACATACACCTTTTTTATGGTATTACTACTTAAGGCTCTGTTGTCACATGTTGCCCATTTCAGACGAACTCACTACTGGATTTTTTGTGCATTTAAATCTTAATCTCTAAATTATGATTATGAATATATTTACCGGGGTTTGCCTTCCATTCGTATTATTTCGACAAGCAGACTGAAAGGCCGACACAATTCAAAATTTATTCAAGTTTCCTTTTTGTTAGTGAATTTCCCTCTTTAGCGGATAGGAGATAATTGAATTTTTGTCACTTATCTCTTATTCGGTTTGCGTGTTAGTAAAAAAAAAATGAATAAAATAAATTTTTATAAGAAAAAAAAAGATGATCGGCATTTGTTAAGTTAATTAGACAAACTTCTTCTCTAAAAGTTTGTACTCTACACTGCTGCACCTTGCTCTATAAGGCCTCGTATTGGTTTTCTCACAAAAAAAGAATTGCATTTTATGACTTAAAATCACAGACTGATGGAGCGTGAAACATGGGAGACTGAAAGTAAGCCTTTATCGATATAGCAGAAATAAATGCTTTCATCGGGCTTCATATCCTCTCCGAATTTTATTCATTTCGGACTTCTGACTAATTTTTTTCTCTAAATAATCCTTTTAAGAGGTTCACATTTCTAATTTTACTTAATCTACTCAGATATTATTTCAGCTTTCTTGTGACTTATGTGTCGGGACCGCAATATGCACTTACAAGCTTAATGCATCTTTTTTCCTTTTCTAGTCTACAATTATGCATACAATTTGATATTTATTAGCAGTAGACAGACAAACATACATAACATATAAATGAACTTTGTACAAACATTATATAAATCTTCTTTGTAACAATTGTTTAAAGGGGTTTTTGCCAGTTTTTTTATATTTTTATTTGATTTCTTTTTTTGATATTATGTCATGAGATTTGTGTTTAATTTCCTATTGATGTTTCAACTTTTCAAAGTCTAGAGCATTTAGTCATGAAACAGCAATTGCTTTAAAAACATTTGAATAGCATTTCCTTATTAAAATTCTTAGTCGGTCACGGCAACCTTCTGTTACATAAAAGCGTTATAATAGTTCTGATAAGCAAATAACTACAAATCTTGTGAAAGAAAGCGTGCATATGCGTGCATAATTTATGTCATAGTATTAACGCTAATAAGACGCAGAAACGCGACGAGAGAAAAGAATATTAAAGTTTTATATTGGAAGTTTTAATTTGAAAATTTTTAATCATACGAAGTTTTAGATAAGTGCAACATCTTTGTATTGAGTCATTATATAAACAATAAACGCACTTTTACTGCGACACCGTCCTGTGAGTGCTGCATCACTTTATAATAATGTCATAGCAAAAAAAGATGTAGAATGGAAGGTGAGAAAATCTTCCGCCTACAAGCGTCATGGAGCTGTGGATCGAAATTTCTAATTTTTTTCTAATTTTCAACGGCAACGAACATGCTGATCGACTATAGAATATTTGGAAAAAAATATGACAGAATTTCACATAATTGATACAACGTTCAAGAAAACCATGGGTCGTTTTACTGTTCGCCTTAGTAAACTCGGTAGAGAATTTTTTGTTTTTTTTGCTAACGATTCTCCTTAACGACTGCTTCGTTGATAGCACTCGAAAGCGTAAGAACGTTTACTCGATGTCGCACGTAAAATGGCTTAACTCCAAAGTAAAGTAGCACTTGATAGCCAAGGAGCGTTTTTTCAGTATCACACATAACGCGCTGTAACTCAGCTCCAAAGTGAAATAGCACTTCGTAGCGTGTGAGTGTTGTTGACATTGCATTTTACCTCAAAAGCAAAATATCATTCGGCAGGATATGAGGGTTAGCTCAATATCGCACCTAAAATGGCTTAACTTCAAAGTAAAATAGCACTCGATAGCCTAAGAACATGCTGTAACTTAGCTCCAAAGTGAATAGCACGCCATAGCGTATGAGTGTTGTTGTTCGATATCGAGCGTAAAACATTGCATTTTAGCTCAAAAACAAAATAGTATTCGGCAGGGTATGAGTGTTTGCTCGATATCGAGCGTAAAAGCGAAACAGCTATCGACGGCCATGTTTAAAAGGAAAACAAAGTGAAGTATTGTTATAAAGGTACATATTCCCCTAATTAATGGACATAGGGAGATTAGTTAATCTCTGAAATTGTAAGCGAAAGTAATCGAGTACCGTAAAACCAAAATGCGATCGTTTCGTTTATATCTTTCATAGCGAACGGTAGCTCTCAACCGTGAGAGCAATAAGCCGGCTTCACGTATCATGGCACATAACAGACGAAAGAATCGAGCTATTGAGAATGCAGTCCATTAAGGAGTGCCCTAAATAAAAAATCGCTTTAGATCTCAGTTTCAGCTTAGCTGGTGTGAAGCATGAATTACACGAAGATGTTACGAACAATTATTTTATATAATAAATTTACATTATATAAATGCACTTCTAATTAATTTTGAACAAATGTTAAAAGTCCCATTGATAAGAATATAAGAAAATATTCATGAATGAATCAAAGCGTTTTTTAACTAATACACAATGCTATCTTTCCCACGTGAATACTGAAAATCCCTTAAAAAAAAATTAATTTTCATACAAAAAAGAAAAAATATAAAAAATTTCCCTAACCCAAAAAATTTTTTTTTTTTTTTTTTTTTTTTTTTTTTTTTTTGGAGAAACACCGGAGGGGGAAAGTGAAAAAAAAAGTGAAAAGACTAATTGACATGAAAGTTAATGAAATAGATGAAGAAATAGTTGTTGTAATGACCTACAATTGAATTCAACACTTCAATATGAAATGTATAAAAAAAAACAAAATTCTTTATTTTTTTTTTGATTATTTTTGATAAATATTTTTATAAAGTAATTTCGAGAGTTTGACTGGAATTTTTCTTCTTCATTAGCTACGCGATAAAAATAGTTGAGCTGTTAGCATGTGAACATGCAAACAATTATTATCTTCCATTTCTTTAGTCGGCTAGAAAGTAAAAGCATACAAACAAAAAAGCAAAAAGGAAAAATGTGTAAAAAAGACTGCGAAAGAACGACTTCGCGTGAAAGTTTATATTATATATTTTATTACTACCAGCTCCAGAGTTTATTCGTTGCTTTAAAAGAAGGCGTTACGAAACTTTAAATTAATTTTCACACTCTTGAGAAGTTTTATTTACTTCCTAGTTCTAGTCACTTGACTATCATTCGTTTCAAAGTCGCTTCATTTCACTTTGATGAAAGTGAAAGTGAAAAGTTTTCATTCATTGTTATCTTTAAAGACTTTTCAGTTAAACTGTCAACGATACGCATATGGATGCACGAAAAGGATATTGGCAAACTGACACGTATACTATGGGCCGGGCAAGGTAATCGTCTTAGGCAACAAGCCAGCACCAATTCGAAGGTTAAACGTTTTCTATCAGCAGTGCCTTATGTTATGGTAAACCGATCAATATATTTGAATGCAAATCTTTTGTTTAACTTCCAATATGAATCATTTAGAATTCCGTTAAAGATGTACATCAAGCTGTTATCGATAATAGTTTGGAAAATTTACAGACCCATTTAGAGCCGCCAGTACCGCCTGCTTTAGTTACTTGCCGGGATGCGAATGGACTGAATTTGATACATAAAGCGGCCGGCTTGGGTCATGCAACAATTTTGGAATATTTAATAGCCACTTGGCCGGATGGTGTCCATGAGATCGATATTACCGGTAAGACACCGTTGCATTGGGCTGCTAGCGCCAAAAATAATATGCGCTGTTACACACTACTCACGCAAGCCGGCTGTGATGAGGAAGTTCTCGACTATGTAAGCACGCAGTTTACGTTTCTCCATCATTGAAATGACAATTTATTCAATTTTATTTTTTTTTTATATATTTTTTTTTTATTATTGTTGATGCCTTCTAAACAAATCTATATAATAAAAAAGAGAATGAAAACACCCACTTATTATCGTCATAAGCCGAACGAAATTGAGCGCGCTTTTCTTACTTATGTACCGGAAGCACCACGTGTCTCACCAGGTATTGCCACTGATTGGGAAGCTCTAAGCGATGATAGTGGGGATGGCAAGGTTACATGAATACCTTTTTTATTGGATATCTTCCATCGATTATTTTACTTATGTGTTGTTTTCTTTTTCTAGAAGCGTGATATTAAAATACCGGAACTAAATGGCTTTGGTCGTCATTCAATCACTGAAAGCAATGAGAATACTTCGGAAGCTGAAGTCACTGAGGGGTAGGTTTGAATACATGGATAGACACTATGGAAATGTAGCTACGCTGTTTAGATCTTAGCGCTCTTAAGAAAGGGCGGCTTTCAACAAAAAGCAATCGTTCTATGAATTTAAACCATTTCCAAGTTTTTAAATAAATTACTCTCCGAAAACGATCTATTACTAACAAGAGGGTGTCTCCTACTTTTTAAGATAAAATTCGAAAAAAAAGCAAAATTGACGTAGGTTCAATAATATTCATAAAGCTGTTAAGATAAATTTTCTACAAGCATCGCTATCGTGCAACAGACACAAGGGTCTTGATGTAAAATAAACCCTATCTCAAGGGTTAGCTTCATGTTGCTCGAACCTCAAAATTTGAATCCGCTATTATTGCGTTCTTTTATAACATTTTTTTATCAACATATTTTTTCCTACTTTTCCTAACTTACCTTCTTTGGCGGTAAATTTTTTCGAGGTTAGATTTGCAAGCCTCCGTGACGCTAGTAGCATGTAGAATTCCACTCTCTTATTAACACGACAAGTTTATGATGCCCGAAGTGACCCATACTGATGCCCAATATTCATATATAATAAAAATGAGTCTGATTGGAAGCAATCCATACAATGGAAGAATTCGAAGTTCATCCTTTATCCTTGAAGAATGGTCAGTTAGGGTTGGCTGTTAGATATTGGCAAAAACTATTATACGATTTAAAAGATCAACCCTCAAAGATTTCAACAAAATTTCCACGAGGAGTGGTGTACATGGTTGTCCGCGTGGTCTAACTGCGTCAACCGATGGTACATGGAGTTGAAAAACGCTAGTTGTCACCTCCAAGTTTGATAAATCACTAAAAGAGAGGAACGCCCATTTAAAGCCTCTCCCTTTCTACGCGGCAGGCACCTGGCAGCCAATGTAACTCCACGCCTAAGCAGAATTCTTTTCAGGAAGCTTGCGAACCCCCGCCACGACCAAACCGTCGAAAAGAACCTTTCCTTTTTTGGACCGGCGCAGTAGATTACTTCGGGGTCTCCAGAAAGAAAAATCCCATTACTGACACTTATTTAGGTCTAGTATGATCTACGATTCGATCGTGCAGACAAGCCTGCAATAGTTAAAAATGATCTGTCTTCCCAGATACATTCGTAAGGAATGTGTCAATGGCTAAGCAAAATTTGTTAAATGTTTATGTTAAAGAAGAGTTTAAGCCTAGAATATGTTCTATTGCCGAATATAATTTGCGATTAAAGGTCTTCACATATGTTAGGGATTGCGTGATGACGCCTTCGCGGGCGACATTGCTTTTGAATTAACAGCATTTCATATTTACTCAGGAAAGGCCCGTCTTAGGAGAGAAACGCTAAGCTCCGATTGTCTTCAAATCAACGATCTATTGAGTACTTTCACAGCTACACCTTTCCGCAAGAGAATATTATGAATTGTTCTATTCAAATTTATTGACCACGGGCTTAATTCTCATAAGAATATGTACAACTTCGCCAAAGTTGTGATAGGGTGCGCGGTTATAACAAACTCTGGGAAGAGTGAATGTCATCAAAACGCCTAAAACACAATCCATGATATATTCTCAAAAAGGAGCGCCTGTTAGCACTGACCACTCTGTTTTAAAAACTATCTAAGCAGGCTTTTTTTTGCTTCTTACTACAATTCAAACTAGAGCGTTCGGAAATCAATAAGCAAAGAAAAATATTTTCGATTTCCGTTGTTCAGATTCTATGATCACTTCCTCTGTGTAAAACTGAAAGAAATTAACAACATTTCCACGCGGAAGGTTCTTGACAGAATTAAAGTTATTTCTGAAAAGTTTGCAGCAAGTACGCACGCATGTTGCTTTGTAAGTGCAGTTAAACTAAAATTTACTTAACAGAGTAAAATATTATCCGAAAGTGTTTTTTTTTCTGAGCGTCCACTTTAAAAATCATATGTCTGTCTATAAATATTATTTTTTTATTTTCTAATTTTTTATTTTTTTTTTTTGAAAGCCTTGAGCAAATATCTGAAGATAATCGGTCCGATAATCCAAACGAGGAAAAGGAAAGTGCGGAAAACGCTAACGATTCAAAAGCTGAAGAACAATCCACTAATGGAAACGCAGAAGATCAGGAAGCGAGCAGTGAAGAAGTAGAAAATACAGCTAAAGAAACCAAAGATCCTGAAGAAGATAATGAAGAGGATAAAGAGAAAGAACAGCAAAGTGAGGTAAGTTCAATTTAGATATCAAAACTTTCTCACCTTTACTTTTTCCTACGCTTAAAATCAACTTTAATTAAATTCTTTAAAAGTTTTGTAAATACAAGAGCTTGGGGCAAAAAATTAGAAGGATTTTTTTTTAGTTTTTATTCTTCTTTAGCGATTTGTAAATACAATAAAAAAATATCTTTTTGAAAGCATTTTCGTTCTATACCATTTTAAGTTCGTATAGCTTGAAAGCTTTAATTTCATTTCCTCTAAAAAGTACGATAAATGAAAGCTTTATTTAACAAGTGATTTTTCAATTAATTGAAATTCAAAAAAAAGTAAGCTATTGTCGGCCTTGATATCTCTTTCTTCTGCTATATGCGTACATCTATACACCTATCTTTGGCTTCAAATATGTTTATTTTCAAGAAATTTTAATAAATACTTTATTAAATTATGCAAAATTTTATAAGTGATTAAATAAAAAGTTAAAGAAAAAAGCAAAACCGAAAGAAATCAGTCGACAATTGTTTACTTTTACAGAAACAGAGCGAAATAATAAATGATTGTATTACTGGAACGGTAATAAAGGATCCCGCCGGCAGTGAACCAGGTGAAACAGATGAGAATGAAGAATATGATGATAATGATGATATTGAAAATGAAACAGAAGTTGTGACTTCAAACGAAGTCGCAGTGGATACACCAGAGAGTGACATCGAACAAGATAAAATAAGCGAAGAGAAAAAAGAAAAGGAAATAGACGATGGAGTTATAGATATAGATACGAAGATCGAAGCTCCTTTACATAAAGAACTTGATCAGAATAGCGATATAGAAGGGGAGGAAAAAAATGAAGACTCTTCTGGGCTAGACGATGCTGACAAAAATGATAGCAATAAAGAGGATGAAGATGAAAATGATGATGAAGCAAAGAGCAGCCGTGATAGTGATCAAGAAATGAAAGACGAGAAACTTATAAACATTGACCAGCTCTCTTTACCGGAAAATGATAAGTTAGATTCTGAAGATAGCGAACATAGCTCAGAAGACGATTTGAAGGATCATGAAAATCAAAAGACTGAGGAAGACGAAAATAATAATACGAAAGATGCGGAAATGTCTGAAGAAGAGCAGCGAGAATGTAATGGGCTAGAATACAAAACGGACGATGATAAGGCAGAAGAAAATGGGACAAATAAAAATGAAAACGGAATGAAAATAAAAGAGTTTGTTCAGGAAATTGAAACAAACCATGACATGCAAATTGATGAAGCTACAAGTTGTATCAAGAAAGCTGAAAATGCATTGAAGAGGGCTCTGAGCGCTGACAAATCTGACACTGAACAAATAGACCAGAGCGATGTTGATGCAGAAGATGATAGCAAGGAGGTGATTATAGTGAATTCTGAAAATAATTTATCGGTACACGATAAAGCTGAATTGAATGAGAAAAACTATAAAGATCATTTCAATATGAAAAGCAACAATGAAAGCGAAAACGAAAACGAAAGCGAAAGCGAAGACGATGAGGTACAATATGGAAAACTTTAAATATGAATGGAATAATACATCGTAGAAATAAGTTTTGCACTCTCTTACATACTTAATGGATAAATTCATCATTTGTATCTTTTTGAAATCTGTGTGTATGTGCAAGAAGAGAAGTACTTTCATTACTATCTTAAAAATGTTGATTTTTACTAAAGTTTTCCTTACATATTTATACATATTTATCTTTACTAATATAATATAATAAAATTGCAGTAAAACTTCAAGTTTGTTTTAAATTTTTGCATGGGTGTTAAGATCGCAACTCTCTAATCTCTCTCTCACTCTCTCTCTCTCTCTCTCTCTCTCTCTCTCCCTCTCTCTGTGGTAAATTTTCAACAATTTCACATTCGATTAAGGATTTCTTAAGACTTTTATGTGGAATTTTATATTGTAATTGTATTTGCTGTTGTCTGAAAATCTATTTACATATATTTTATTCGTTAACTATAACACCTACATACACAACGTGTAGTTAAATTCAGGTGAATACATTATCTGTACATATCTAAACGACATCTAAGCATGCAATAAATTTAGTTATTTATCGAATAGCGTCAGTTGCAGTTGTTTGATAAAATTGAAAAGCCATGTAATACTTACCAGCCTATGCAATGTGTTGACTTGAAGGTCAAATATTTGTTCTTTTTTTTTTCGCAAGTTTAATTAAAGTGCGGTTAAGTAGGTTTAAAGTTGTTTTCTTTTTCTTTTTTTTCTTTTTGGAAAAACTGAAATTCAACTAAAACTCATCAGAGAATGCTTTCTGAATGTTTTATAGGAGCTTTTTGATTACCCACCAAGCTTACGATGTTTTTCTATTCTCTGCTTGAATTAATTTTTTGGCTTTCGTACTTTCACATCTTTAAAGAATTTATAGACAGAAGGACAGTCGAAAAAGTTTTAAAACAAACAGCAAAAATTTTTGCCCAGGAAGCAATTTTCTTGGGGATCATTTAAAAATGGGAAAATTGGATGACGGATCAATTAAAGACGGGAGTCTTCTTTTATCGTATAGAAGGTACACTCAAAAAAAAAACGTTTTTCCGTGGCTAACGGTTTCAAGCAAAAGTTATGGAGAGAGCTCGCTTATATAGGAACAGCTAGATGGTCTTCATCCTACTTTCGTTAAATTGGTTGACATTATCTTCATTTATCAGCTTTACAAGCGCAGACGACGAGTATACTAATTATTTCCTTCCATATATTTTGCCTCTTCTTTGGAATGTTGTTTAAGATTTCCAGACATTTAATCAAAGCGAGATTTTAAATTGATTCGGTTACACCTGCGAATGGATTCACCCATTTATCTATCTGGCAAGATCTTGTGTTGATTTAATCAGGCGCACCTGTCGATTCATCCATTTATCTATCTGCTCGTTGCGTTGCCTATCTGCCCACTTACCTGCGTTGGAACCCTTGAAACACTAAGTTTAGATAGAATGCTTGAAGTATCAAAATTGTCAAGATTGGATCTAAAAATGGATATGATCAGTTCAGAAAAGCATTTCGCAAATACTGAAAAATTTTAAAATATTAAAACTTGTCTAATATTTTGTTTTATTTATCTCGATGGCTTAAAAACCTCCTCTTTGTAGGAATTTTATATAAATATCTTAAGTAGTGATTATTCAAAATTCGCTTTTAGACACACATAACTCTACACCTTCATGTTACGAGGTGTCTAAATTTTATAAATTTATTATTTATTTAATACTTTAACAAGAAAATTTCATCGTACCAAAACTATTTAGGCCCCACGTTGAGTGGACGATTGGACACTTCTAGTGTAACTAGTTTTATATACATAAATATTGTCACTTTTGTGTAATGTGAAATATACAAATAGTCAAAAAAGTCAAAAGATTTCACTTTCTATCTGGCAAACGCTCCACGCTTGGTTACGCTCAAGAAATACACGAGCAGAAACCCGTATGGACAGAGGTGGACGATCGAAATTTTCTTGCCCGACGGGCGGATGTTGTGCTCTGAACTATTTTACATCCCGCCCTACCTATTGTCTCCTTCAGCCCTTGTGCTTTTTGTGTGGGAGACTCTGATGATCTATGCTCTGCACCATGATTTTTCTTTAGCTTCGATTTCATTCAGATTGTGGAATTGTCTGCTATCGTCAGCTATGTATAGAGATCTGTCTTCGCCAGAGAGCACATTCATTCGTACATGACTCAAATTCATTAATGTATTTCATGGATTCTTATTCATCGTAGTGGCTATCCTTTCTCTGAAAGTTCTTGAACTACCACCAAATGATCAAAGGATCATAAATAAAAAACAAAAAAAAAAAAAAAATTAGGAAATTTCAAAGAAGCCATTAAGACCAACCAAGCTTGCTTTTTAGACAAATTTTTTTTTTTTTGTTTTTATTGATAACATTGTAAAAATTAATAAACGAGTAGTGTACACAAAATGTTTCATTGATAGTAAACAATAATCGTACTTTAGTATTATATTACAAACAATATCTAAAATATATCTTCTTAGGAAACAAACAATAATAATAATAATAGTGATGACAGAGAAAACGGGAAAGAACTCATAGAAAATAACGAATCTACGGACAAAGAAACTGAATTAAACGATCATCATAGTAATCAAGATGATGAACAGATGACTAATGGAAATGGAGAAGACAACGTTGCTGAAGAAGAAGCTGCTGAGGAAAAAGCTGTTGAAGAAGAAGCTGATGCGGAAAATGCTACTGAAGAAGAAGCTGCTGCGGAAAAAGCGGCTGTAGATGAAGTTGCTGAGGAAGAGGTCGTTGAATACGGAGACAATGAAAAGTCTCTTCAACGCTCTACGCTTGAGAGTGCAGAAAGAGACGCAGCTGTAACGCCATCGCTTGCTATTGAAGGCTTCGTGGCAGGTGCTTCTGAGGATAATACAGTTCAGTCACAAACCGCTGCTATTGATCATAATGAAAAAGTATAACTTTTCAATTGTTGTTTTTCGTTTGTTTTTTTTTTTTTTTCATTGCATTTTTTTTTTTTTTTGTTTTTCAAATTAACTCAGTCAACAGATAATGAAGCAATAGTGATATTTAAAATTTTAGTTTCATATGAGTTCTAGGAAAAAAATGTATTAATTTTTCTTTCACAAACATCGACACCTTGAACACCATTCAACACGATTTAAATTTTGAATGTCTTTAAGCACTTTTCCAAAACACATAAACACAAACCTTTTCACTTATGTTGATTGTTCTTATATAATTTTTTTCCTTATATTTTTTGTTGTCGGTCTTATATGTGTGAGTGAGTTAAATTTTTGTTAATGACAACTAAAAAAAAAAGAAAAAAAAAGAAAAGAAGAAAAGAAAACACAAAAACCTAATTGGCTTAAAAACATCTACACATCAAAAGGAACTGCAACTGCAACAGATTGTAGCGGCTGGTGACATGGAGAAATTAGCTGAGATAGTTTTGAACGGTGACGGTGAGAAGCTATCAAATTTGGAGGCTACAGAACCCGAAGTACAAGCCTTTCTCAATAACGTGCCTAATTATATGGTGAATTGAATATGTGTGCACGCTTTCTTGATTTTATTATCTCATTTCTTCCTTGTCTTTAGAATAAAATTCAAAGAGTCCATAAAGCGGCCCGCAACGGCAGCTTATTGTCTTTACAACAGGCTTTGGATCGTCGAAAATTTGCTATTTCTCGTGATAATATTTCACCAAACGGTGCCACACCCTTACATGTTGCTACGCTTTTCGGTCATAGTGGTAAGATCGCGTGTGCCCTCCTCCATGCTCTCGTAACCCACTGTGTTTTTCTCACTTTTAGATATCCTGCGATATTTGGCGTCTCGTTTCCCCGAAACTACCTCAGCCACGGATTTTGACGAACGTACACCTTTGCATTATGCCGCTGTCATCAACGATAATGGTCACTTTTATAATCTTCTTCTGAAATTGGGTGCTAATCCTAAAATTGAAGATAAGGTAAGTAAGCTCATTAAGGAGATCATGTAGGTGCTACGGATGTGCATATATACTGCATGTAAGTTTTTAATTGTTATTAGTTAAGTGAATTCAGGTGATTTTTAAATCAACCGATCGTTCCAATCTCGATGAGAAGATTTTCTTCAATGTAATAATAAATAGTTCAATTTAAGGCAAATTCCATTTAAGGTTGATTTTTCTCTATTAGTCGCGGCCGTTAATGTTGAACAGTTCAAGTCGTTCAAAAAATGAATCTTTTTCCTTCTAAGGCGAATAACTAAAGCTCTTGAATTTTGTGTATGTCAAGAAATGTGTGAATGTGTGCGTTTGTTCATTCAATGAGGGGAGCTAGCTTAGAGACTGTAAGATGCGTTTTACGAAATTTTTTTAAAAATATTGAGATCGCATCCACCTTTGCTTCGATTTATCATAATATACAAATACAATAAATATAAAATCTATGACATGTTATTTGGCTGGACACACTTTTTTCCGCTCCTCCTCGATATAAATCTAAATCAAAGATCTAAGCAAAGATACTCGGGTGCCGCGCGTCTTTAGGATTGCTTCGCTACGAAGAAATTGTGCTCAATTTGAAAGAAATTATATTTTACTCGCCATCGATTCAAAGAGAAGTTCATATCGCATATTTAAACACAAGTTAATCAAGATACAATTCTGCACTGTTTAGTGCTCGTTTAGAGAACGAGTAGTAAAGTAGTAGTGAAGACTTTTGATGAATTTCTATACGTGGAAAAATATGTCATGTTTTTGAATAGTATCCGACTAAAAAATTTCAAAGCCAAGCTAAATTCTAGAGTCCTTGGAAGAGTCTGCTCCTGTGTTTACATCAACAAAATACGGACGGATATTAAGCGTTACTGCACATGCTGGCAATATAAACATCAAGATAATGAATCAGTTCATACACCAGTTGGCCTGATGGCCAATATCGAATTGTTTTTTAATGCGATCTATTCGCCGGTATTAGACTTTTTGGATTAGCTTCACTTCTTAAACTTGAACAAGTGTACACTTGTAAGAGGTTCGCTAAAAATATGAATTGTTGGTGGATTTCGATACTTTTCAATACAAACAGATGTCGAAGCTATTAAACAGAATCGCTAAAGGGTATCTAACTGAACGAAGACTATTGGAATTTTTCAAATTTTTATGTTTTTTGTGTCAGTTCGGGTAGCTCTGAGACTAAACGCGCATATGTTATTTTTTGTGAAAAAATCTTTTCAATAATAGTAAGTTATCGAAGAACTGCTTTAGCCTCTTGTTTACAATTAACTTCTCGTGTCGAAAACCACGATTTTGAATTATGTATTAAATTACTTTCAATAGAAAATTCTTTGCTATTTTATTTACAAGGAAGAGAAACGGAGGAACGGAAGGACATCCCGAATCGTTAAAGTTGGATTAACGCCTGCTGAAACAGAAACTTTGGACTGTTAATGTTAATATCTCAATTTTTTGGAGCGAATTTTAACTAAAGTCTCCTTCGAAAATTATTCTCTATCTTTCTCTAGCCTTCATCTTTCCACAGCAATTCTTAATCCTTAAATGCATAAATTTGTATTTTTAAAATGAAATGAAATAATACTCAGATGAAGCGTCAATAGTGAAGCACATTACAGATAAAGAAATAAGCTATCAAAAATTCTAGTTGCATTCGCACAAGGGGAACAGATTTTTGGTAAAATTTAAATAACAAAAAAAAAACACTATGCACAGATGGCTACATAAAGAGACATGAGCTTTTAAACGCACGATGTAGATTTAATCGCCATGCATTTAAGGATTAAGCGTTTGAGAAATTCGACAGCAGTAGGGGGAATGACATTGCTAAGTGATTGTTAAGCCCTCGCAAACTGCCACTTAGGATCGTCATAGGATGGCCAAATCTACTTTAGTTTCATTTTTAACTTGCACTCCTAGTTTGCTATTAACATTCCCTTGCACGTCTTCGTTACCGCTTTACTACTTTACTATTGAAATCGGAACTTAAGGAAGTACAGTGGGTGTACGAAGAAAACCTATCCAAAGACGTGGGCTTACAAAAAAGGGAACATCGCAATAAAGAAGAGAAAAGAAGACCTCACGCTAGTATCTTGTGTCGAAGAAATTAAAAGATAATTTAGATTTTTAAGCGTAAACTCTTTTTAACAAAAATATATAGCACCTCAGTTATCATTTCTTCTGAATGCTGAGGGCAAACTAATAAAAATAATCCCTTAGAGACAAATGGCTTATTCGCAGATATCTAAAAATTTCTGATCAAATTCTATGAAGTAAGTAGGGATTGTAGATCAGTTACTGAAAAACTTTGCACTGCGCTGTAGAAGTTGTACGGTATTAAGATTTATTTTCCTACGTAGAACAATTGTCATCATGTGAAACATATTGAAGCTCAGTACTGCTATGTAGCATTAGGTCTTTGGATTTTATTTAAACTTTCATTTTTTGACTCTATTTTGCACATCATCTTCTTGCTTAAGGACTTGGCAGACTAATCTCAAATATTTGGTGGTTCCTAACTTTTCAGTATTTATTAGTTATGCCCTACACCACTTGCTGTACACATTAAGATAGTTCGGTCATATGTAACACGCAGAAGGGCTTAAGATATACCCACCTTTTATTATGCCGATCGACTCAGAATCATAATCTGAATTGTCCTAAGTCTGTCTGCCCGTATATCCGTCTGTCCGTCTAATGTCTGTCCATGAAAGTTTAGGTTCAGGCTAGAGGTCACAATTTTTGAGATATTTTGATAAAATTTCGTGTTTCGACCCAAAGACTTGCGCTATTGAAAATCGTTCGGATTGGCCCACTTTTCGAACACTTCCCATATGACGCTATATTCTGAAAATTAGTTATATGGAAAAAAATTGCAACTTTCAGAATTTCTCGGCAAAAGTGGCTAAGTAGTAGGTTTGGATCGGTCCATTTTTTCTACCTCTTCCTATCCATCTATCCTAATTTCTTTTAAAAGTGCCTAAGTAGTAGTATTTTGGCATTCTGAATTGGTCTGAAAACTTTGGTTCGGCTGAGACAATTTTTGAAACTCCTCTCATGTAACGAAAAGGGAAGTTAATACGACAAAAAGGTATAATTTTGAATGCTTCATGATGAAAATTATATGATAATAGTAATTTAACTTAAAGAGAGGAACTATACCAAACTTGGACCATTCCGGCCTATTTTTGGATCCAACCGTAATAAAGATTCTGACGAAAATTGATCCTTGATGGTTAACCTTTAATAGTAATTTCATATAAAAATAAGAATTGTGTTAGACAATGTGGTGTAAGGTATTTAATGGTTGGTCTTGCTCCACTATAATCTTCTTACTTGTTTCATTAAAAGTTCTTTTACGATTAGAGTGCTTGGTAGAAATACTATTACTATTATTATTAATAATAATAAATTTTTTTATACTACCACCTTGAACTATCGGTTCTATTTTAGAAAAGAAACATAGATGTGGAGTCTGGTAGTTTTAACTAAGTAATATATTGAATTCATATTGCTTTGTGCAGTTGATTGAAAATAATCTCTAAACTTTGGAAAATATGAGAAAATGTTCTTAACGTGGAATAGACATATTTCTTGTGATGACCCTGAACATTATGTATTTTTGAGCTTGTAGTGTGTATTTAATTTCTTTTATAAACAACAAGTGTCACTACATTTTCTAAAATTATATGACACGCATAAAGGACTTAGTTAAAGAACTATTGAAAACTATTAAAATATTCTCTTACTTAGCTGGGTAAAACCGCCGAACAATATCGTGACGATGATAAATTGAGAGATATTTTAAACTATCGTCAACTCTTGATGCTATTTAATGCCGAAGAACTCGAAAGTCAATTGTTAAGTGACCAAGGTAAGCGTGAATGCAGGTTATATGTCAAAGAACTTAAAATTTTGAAAATTTTAAAATTAAAAAAAAATCAATACAAAAAACATTGTTTTTTTTTTTTTTTTAACAAATATTTTATGTACGTACCTAAGTAAAAGTTAGTGACTCGATGTTGTGGCTTTTTCAATATATATATATATATATTGTTTTGGTTTTTCATTTATTTATGTTATTGTTGTACATTTCTTATTTCAATTACACGCACGCAATCTTATGCTTGTTCGTTGCTATTCTTCTTTTCTGTTCAAATTTGTCTTCAAAGAGTTTTTAAACGTTTTCTGTGTTTTATTTCAAAAAGCCTGAACTTTTCTTACATCGCGCACTGTACTCAATCAATGTGTATGTGTATGCGCGTGGAAGAGAATATTTGCATTTTAAATAAATAATAAAGTTTGCTTTTGTTTTCTCAATAGGCCCTAGACCTTAACCTTGTTTCGTTTGTTTTTTTAAAAAATTCCCGTAGTTGCTGTTATTATTGTTTTGTCTTCTCTTACTTTCCAAGCATTATTATAGTGTTAGTCCTTTGTTTTAATAGTTACTCGCCAGTCACTCGCCATTCACAGCTAGTTAATTAGTTAGTTAGTTAGCTTTTGTTTGCTCACCTTAACAGTTCGTATGGCTTATTACTTAGCTTGTCGGCTTGTCGGATAGCGTTATGCTGTTTCTATAAAATTTTTTGTGAGAGTGTGCGAAATTTCCATCCAAGTTTTTTATGAAAAAACTATAGCTATTGTTAAGTAATCGATACTCGCTTGTTGAAACAAAATTTCTTTTCTTCAAACAATTTCTTTTAAATCACACAAACAAACAAATTTTAAATTATGGAAAGTCGTCAATATTTGAACGGCATTTTAAATAATATCGATGATATATTTGGTAAGCTCTTCTTTTTATTTTCTCCTTATGTGTGAAATTTAAATTAAATTGAAAAACTAATTTAAATAATTATACGAAAATTTGGAAAAATTAATAATACATCGTCCGAATCTTGAGTAATCAATACCTTAAACAATTGCATAGAGAAGGCAAGGTAAGGGTGTCAAGTGGCTAACTTTAGTGTTTCGATGATGTGGGAACCATTTTATGGAGAACTGGATTTTTAACAGTCACGGCAAAGCTTATTCGTCTGTGAACTTAGAAGCATATGCAGCATGAAGTTAAGCCAACAAAAATTCAATACAAATTTCCTAACTATCAGTTCACGACACTCATAAGCAATACAGTAAAAAGAAATATTCCACGATAAAATTTAAAAAAATCTTTTCGCTTTGTCGATTTATGCATGGAGCATAGAAATCAAGTGGGCCAAAGTTATTTCTGTAACGCCTTTTTCACAATAAGGCGTTATATGGGAAGCGATCGAGAAAGTGACCTGATTACGTAATAGCCTTCGTCTTTGGACCAAAACACTATATTCCATCCAAATATTTCAGAAATTTTCAGTTGCAGTTCTGAGCACAAAAACTGACAGATGGACAGATGGACAGACAAGCTTAGATCGATATAAAAAGTAACTGGGAAAGTAATTTTGACTTGATAGGTATATTTTCTAAATCCTTCTTGGTCAAGTGCTTTTGGATCAAGTTTGTCTGGGTTTATCTCAAGCCCTTGTCGTTGTTGAATACTTAATCCACTCTCTTATCGCAAATGGTGTAGGGTACATATATCTCAAGTGTGGGAGCAATTTTGTATCGATTATTCTACCAAGCTCGAAAAGCACTTCTATGTCTGTTTGACTCGACAGATGGTTCCTCCTGAATAATGACGAGCAATGGAAAATGATTGTATTAAGTAAGGCATCTTAATGTACTACTGCATCACTAAACAGTGTAGATTTGACCATAAAACCAAATATCCGTGAGGCCTTTTCCTTTTTGGGAAATCAACTGGATGTGGTATGATGTGTTACAACCAAGCAAAACTATAAGCCACACTTAAGCCATTGAGAAATGTACGGGACTTAGCAAAAATCATAACATTGAGATTTTTTAATATTATGACTCAGGGCCCAAAAATTCGCCTTCGAATAAGAAAATCGCATCCTCCACGCTGCGTTCTTTAACTATTGTTTCTTATTATTATTAACACTGCTTAACTTATTGTCTTATTTCATTGGCTACGTGGACAGCTTTAAAAGGCCAATTGTCTCTTTGACAGTGAATTCACATTCTATCATAAAGAAGGAAAATTTCATATTTCGGTCTCATTTAAAGGCTTATTTTACATGAGAGCCCTGTTATAAAAGCGGATTAAAAAAATGATATGAATATTAAGAGATTTTTGTCATGAAATTTCGAAGGTTACCATATTTTTGATGCAATGCCCTATCATAATCGGGCATCCTAATAAAGATAAAAAACGGGCTAATTCTATGTTTTAGGACAACTTTGCACTTTACAGTAGCTCATAGGGCTGTGGTGAAGGATAATGACACTAACGTACAAAACTATTGCTAGAGCATTCAGTTATGTTCTGGAACTGTTTTAATATAATCTCATGACATGCTCGTCAATAACTTCCATGTTTTAAAATTCATGCAAGGCTTAATATTAGCTTTTATAAATATTTGACTGATGAAGCTAATCTTTAATTTCATGCTCGAAAGCTTTCTTTTCCTTTTAGTACCTACAGAAAACCTTCTTCAGATATTCAAATTATGACTTCGAACAGCGTAGTATGAACGAGCTCCGATAAGCTAATGCTTAGGTAACGTTGGGCTTGCTAAATAATCGCAGTGGATTTTCGTGTATTTGAATCTCAACAGTCTGCTTTTTTGCGTAGACTTTATATGAACAATGTTATGGATAATAGGTTTTAAATTTTTTTTATAATTGAGCGAAAATATTTAAAAATTTATTCTTTTAAATGGATGAGATACCTTGATCAACATGTCTACCAGTCTATGAACGGTAATTTATAAGAGGTATTAGGTATCGGTTTATAGTTTCTTACAAATATTTGCCAAAGTCAGTATGAATGCTTATTTATAGTTAGCCAATTGACACACTTTCATATTTTGGGGAAATATTTTTCATATTTTATTTATTCGCTTGAGGCGACAAGCATTAAAGATTCGCTATAAAACGAACTCGATAACTCTCTTTAATATTAATTTTGACTTTCCATGCACTCACGTATTCGTGTTTCATTATTTATGTTATGCTTAAGTGTGAATGTGCACGTATATTTCTTTAAATGTTTAAAATGATATTTTCTTTCAAATGAAAATTGTTAATAATCTACGTTAAATCATTTGCTTCTTTTTTCCTTTCTCCTTGTATACGTTTAATTGTCTATTTGTCTTTTAAGGTACTTAAGTATACTACTAGGTCTGAGAGAAAGGTGTCGTTTGTTTTGAAATAATGTGCTAAGTACATAATTTGTGTGTGAATGTCTATACGTGTGTGTATGTGTGGGTATATTGCAATCCAAACCAAACAAGCCAACCAAATTGATTTAAAAACTTGTTAAATAACCACAAAAAAAAAAAAAAAAAAAAAAAAAAAAGAAGAAACGTTTGAAATTAACTTTTAATGCCTTTTCCGCACTTCTCCCTCAAATTCCAACTCTTCTCGCACAAACAATCGTACCTGTAAATGAAAAACTTCTAAAACAAATAAAAACCCGCGTCTACTTTAGTCCCTCACGACTTCCACAGTTCGCGACGTTCGTTAGAAGACGAAGATGTTGCTCAAATCCTTGATCGTTGTTTCGATGTCATTCAGGATTCACGTAAAGTGTGGAGTGGTTCGAATGCCTCAGCCTTATCGCAAAGGAAGCCGTTAAGTGGCGCGTCATCAATGCAATTGATCATCACCAGCTATTTAAGTCGCTTCCTAAAAGCTTCGGTATACGAGAAAATTAAACGGCGCCAAACTCGTTTAGATCACAATCTATTTGACGTAATATGGCCGGCTTTGCGTAAAACGTCGAAAGAACGCTTGCTAGAGGAAGATATTAATTGCGGTGTTGTAGCCCCCGATTTCGACATCTACGTAGTTTTCCAAGAATTTATGGTGCCATTAATCAAAGATATGCAATGCATGGCTGTCAACTCAGATTTTAAGCCACATCCTCGCATCGCTTATTTTCCCATCGAGGATGGTGAACGTTTAAATACCGCCCGCTTTCTGTTCGATAATGAGACCAATTTAGTAATTCGATGTACTGTTGAGTGTTCACGTAATTTGGATAATTATGAGTTGCCTTTAAATCTTACTGTCGGTCAAATCGAACAGGTCGAGAGATGTATTATGAGTAAATTATTTAATGAAGAATTTGTAAAGATTGCGCAAGAACCAGAAGCGGGCAATTATTACACCTTAACTGAAGTATTGGAGGAGAATTCGGACGTCTATCAAATACTTGAGGAATATGGTCTTCTAATACCCTTTCTCGACACCAGAGATGTTATACAAGCTGCTGAATGTAACGTATTTCATGGTCATCTATGGCCCTACGGACGAGGTGTATACATAAGCGCTTCCAATCGTCTAGCTTTATGGTTAAACTGTCAGGAGCATTTACGAGTTATAGCTACATCTACGTTGACGGATCCCAACGATATGGGTTCAGTGTATACACGTATTGGACGTACTATCACTTATCTGGAGCAACGATTACATTTTAAAGAAAGCTTTCTACTTGGATACTTGCAAGCTCGTCCCTCTTATCTCGGCACCGGACTCAAAATAACTACTATTCTAAGCTTACCAAATCTTATGAAGGAAATGGATAATTTACGTCACTTGTGCGCAGTGCGTGGCCTGCACTTAACCACTGCTAATTGTAATAATCAAATTCAAGTTTGTTTGATTAATATGCGATCGCTGGGCGCTATGGAATATGAAATCTTCCAGGATTACTGCACTGCCGTCACCAATATTCTCTCACTGGAGAAGGATATGTCTCTTAGCAATTCCAAGCATATCGCTTTAATGTTGCTTAAGATATTTCGTCGTAAGAAAACCAGCGGAATTGAAACGTAGTAATTAATCAAGTTCAAGTTCAAGTTTAAAACTCAATCACGCATACACACACACTTGCTCCGATTATTGTATATAGAAAACCACCAATATGCTGCTCCTTACCCGTTATTCACACTTCCAGATTGTATAATACAGTTGCTGATCAAATTAAACTTAGTGTGTGGAGAGAATTTCAATTTTAAATATTTTCGTTCATTTTTAAAGTGTTTTTTTTTTTTTTTTTTTTTCATTTCATCCCCTTTCTGGGATTATGTAATTGTTTTTGCTTTAGCTAAATCATCATAAAATCCGAATAATTGAATCGAATTTCGTAAGTTCATTTGTATTATTATTAATTTTTTAAAGTAAAAAATATTGTTTAATTTATTAGTTTGTTGTGATGTGTAAAAGACTTATGGTTTAGTTGCTGAAAATTCTTTGTCCTTTTGTTTTTAAGTTATAATGTGCGTATTAGAATAATATATTTTTCATCCATGAGTATACACAATGTTATCTTTTTCTTTTTTTTTAATTGAAAATTTAATAAGCGATTTCATCTTTCATGATTACGTTAATCACTTACGAGATGAAAAGGAATTTATTTTAGACTATCGTAATTAACGCGTCTCATCGAAGAAGAATAATATCAGAGTGTAAGTGTTGCCAATAGGTCAGAGAGTAGGAGGTAGGTTAAATTAAAATGCCATTGAGAAGAAGGCGATTGTTCTTCTCAGCCCTTACAATATCGTAAAACAAACGTAAAGTAAAATTGAAGAGCTATTTAAAAGGGAGTTAATCCTCTTGCAGCAAATCTTAGCGAGTTTTGGACATTATTGACGATGAAAATTGAATTAAAAATCTTGTGAAAAACAAGGGTGTGACTCATGCGACCTTTTTCTAATCTGGAGTTGTAAAATTAAGCTGCACATTAATAAGCTAAGATAAAGCGAGAAATCCTGTGTGGCTGTGAACTTTATGAAGTTGTAAAAGTCATAAATCAGTGATAATTTAATGATTTAGCCGAGAAAATTGGTTGCAGCTTTAGAACGTACCGTAAAGCAAAGTATGGATGATCAAGTAGATAATTTGTTTAAGATGCTTAACATTTTAGTAAACTTTGCTTATTGCAGAAATCGATGATCAATGAAGTAAAAAGCAAATGCAAATATCATAGTTGACCGCGACCTACCTTTAAGTATCCTGCAGCACTTGCACGTAGTTATTCATATAAGAAGTGGTTGAAGAAGGATTCCTTCGCTCTATGCACAGAGACCGAAAAATTGGACCGATCCAAACCATTTTCATTAGCATTCGTCTTTGGGTCAAAATACGCCACTGTACCAAATTTCATCAAAATATCTCAATAATTGCGACCTTTAGCCTGAGCACAAATTTACATGGACAAACGTCACACAGACAGATGGACAGACAGGCTTAGATCAATTCAAATTATGATTCTGAATCGATCGGTATAATAAAAGGAGGGCCTATATTAAGACATTTTGCATGTTACACTAGTGTCCGCACTAGTTTGAAATAAATTTGAAAGACATGGATCTATTTCTTGGCCTCGATTGCATTTAAGATTTCTCATGAAGTGGAGAAGAGGAAAAAGTTTTAGATTTTAATATATTGTAAGGAAAATTGGTCGATAGCAGCAATTTAGCAAAGACATTAAACGAATTTGGACCACTTAAGTCTATTTTTTAGACCCTAACATATATAAGGCTTATCATGAAGAGCAAGTTCTTATATAGAGAGAAAGTGTGATTTCTAGTTTGTCATGATGGAAACTGAAAAATAATAAAATTTTTAGGAAATAAATGTATTTATTAAATTTGGATCCTGCCATGTGCAGTTTTGGGTATCCTCTAGTATATGGGCTTTCATGGTAATTTATGAGTAATGGCTAATCATAAAAGAGAAGTTCCTTCGTTTATGCTGCACTATAAGCGTGTCTCTTGGGCAATTTGACAACATTCACGGTCAGGGGAATTTTTTCCATAGACATTACAGAAACGGGCAGATAGTAAGAGATGGTTTAGAATTTAAAGCTGATTAAGAAAATATATACATGATGGGGTTCCGAGCCTTCCTTTTGGGCGTTTGCAAAGCATTGGCAAGATGAATATAAAAAAATGGGAACCTTGAACAAATCTTAAATAAAATAAAGATATTATGAACTTACCGTGAATGAAAACCTTTCCAAAAATGGTTTTATATATACTTTTAAAAATGCAAAGCAAGAATGATCTTGATCCATATGCCGAACGCTACAATTACCAAAATGTTGTCATCCTTTTTCAAAATATATTTGCCGAAATACATTCGGGCCAATGATTATAGAAAATCTTACGAACTTAAGAAACTTCCAATCGCTCCTTGCTCTTCATGCTGGCGTAGATTTGTTTAGTATGAAAAAATCTTCTTGTCTTGTCTTCTTTTAATCATTCAAGAAGAAACGCGTGCTTGTTATTAAACTCAACTGAAATGAATCCTGAAATTTATGATTTGGATCTTCTTTCAAAAATTTCTCTATTCAGCAGATTTCATCTCGTTAATAGGTGAAAGTGAACAAAATTGAAATAATTAATATCAAGTGATAATTACGATCTATCTGTACTATCCTAACAGTTTTGGCTCTCACTTCGTTATATCTTTTACTTTTTTTAATTTACTTAACTTATTTAAAAGATTCATTTACTACATTTTTGCTTCTTGTGGCTTCACAGCTTTTTAGAGAAGTTTACCAATTATTGATATATTTTCGTTTTTATGGAAAACTAATATATCGTTACCTGCCTTTACAGGTCAAATAGAAAATCACAGTTTTGAAAATAATCCACTCTTTAAAACCGAGCAGGGGAAATATTTAGCAGACAGTAAGTTGAAAACAAATGAACTTGAGCTTTTTGTTAATGTTTTAATGAATATCATCCATTAGCTTTGGCGGAACCATTGATTAAAGCTTTAACACAAATAGTAAACAAACGTCCTGCCGATCCTTTACTTTATTTAACAAATTACTTACAAAGCTATGTGAAAACACGTAATAGTAATGGGAGAACCATAACTACTACACAGGCAGCGGTGCATACTGGCAGTGGTGTGTCACATGTTGCACGAAATGAATCATCGATTGAAAAACAAAATGGCAATGCTTTTATGAACGGAATAGATGGTGATGCCGCTGGCAATCATCTGATGGAAAATTTAGAAGAAACTGAAGCAGACGATACCAAGAAAATGGAAGAACGCGATGAACATGGCCAGAGTAGATTGCATTTTGCTTGTGCTCGCAGCAATCGCAAGGGGGCTCTTATAAATTTAATCGAAGAATCCTTAATCGATATAACATATCGCGATGAATTATATCGCACTGCTAGAGACGTATCATTGCAAGCAAATCAACTGGGTAACGCCAAAGAAATCGATCGTTATGTATTTTCTTTAGCAGTCGTAGGTAAATTTAATATTGAACGCTTTTTCTTTACCTTATTATATAATTGTTTTGATTTGACTTTTGTAGGTGACGTTAAGCCATTTGAGCATTTAGCCGTATCGGGTTATGATCATATTATCGATATATACGATGACAATGACGCCTCCATTATCGATGTGGCCGAGCAACGAGGCAACACACAGATAGCAACATTTTTGCGGGCATTACGTTCGATGGAAGAATTGCGGGAAGAATTACATCAAATGATACGAGATAATCGTGTGGAACGTGTTAAAGAAATTGTCGATGTCCCGAACGGCAAATGGTTCATAAAAGCTAAAAATTATTATGGTACCGTTATATACCGTCAATAATGCATAGTCTATATAATAGCTGGGAAAGTAATTTCGTGCAAGGCAGCAATTGCTGCTTTCGAAATACGCTAAGCTTTACATTACTTTTCCTTACCCGACGTCTTGTTCTATTTTTTTTCTTTAATTTCTTTCCTTGTGGCTATTTTGGCAAAATTTTGCGAAATTACTTTTCAAACGACCAAATAATTTCGATAACAGTTAAAAGCACTTTTCCTCTATTTCTTTAGGTCGGACTGCTCTGCATATAGCCATTTTAAAAGAATCAGTAGAAATTGTTGAACATTTCGTAGATATCTGCCCGGAATCGTTAAAAATAGGCGATAATGTAAGTTTCCTTTCTTAAAGAAAAAAAAAAAAAAAAAAACTAAAAACAATATTTAAAATTTCCTCATACTTTTCTTTCTATACAACAGTTAGAGCGTTCGCCATTACACTATGCCATGGGTACAAGTACTATTGAGAGCATTAGTCGTATACTAATACAGAATGGAGCTAAACGTACTTGCAAAGATTTAAAGGGACGCCAGCCGAGTTATTATTTCATGAACAAAGCCGATGTATTGCGTTTGCAAGAGGAAGAAGATGAAAATCGTTAAAGGACTTTTTCATTTGTTATTTATTTGTTTTAAATTTCGATTTCACGATATTGATCTCAAGTGTGAAGCGTAGTGTCAAATATTATCATTGTAAGAGCACAAATTTTTATAAATGAATTTGAAAATATTTTATGAACAAGTTTTTTTTTAATTTGTTTGTTGTCAATAACAACAAAAAGAAATGAATGCACCTACACTGTAACAAATCTTTACGAATTTATTGTAATTTTATAAATGTAGTTCCCTAAGTTATCACAAGCAACGTTTAAGTGAATAAATTGTTATTATAAGTGAAAAAATAAAAAACAAAAAAAAATTTCAATTTTTTTGAATTCAATGTTATTCATATACCTGCTCTCTTATACACATATTTCGTCAACTGCTTAGGGGAAATTCCTTTTATGAGTGGAAATGGCGGCCGTCAGGAATCATTACAATGAAGATACGGCAAGATGCTATGCCGCATAGTTGCTGCAACGGTAAGGTAGGTCCAAGCACTTATTATAAAAATACGTTGCACGTAATTCTTTGGTCCAAAATTAGAAAACAAAAATTTGTGAGTTCTCTATATTTACTTTAACGCTAGAGCTGCGGAGTGCGTCAACTTGACCCTTTTCAACTAAGCAGTATTGAAAATTATTATTGTCAGTTATATAAGTTTGCAAAAATTTGTTGGCGACTTTTATTTGTATGAAAGGACCTTTAAAGAGTTTTAATCAATTTTCTTCGGCCTGGGCGAATTTCCGGAATGCCTTTGCCCTGTTAAATGACCACTATTGGAAATCATAATACGGGAACTATTTAACGAACTTATAGATGGTTCTTTCGGGAAATTTTCTTGATCCTGGGTAGAACCTTTTTAGGAGTATCCTCACACATAATTGAAAAAAAATAATGAAAAAATTGTCAGTTTGTTTTGGAAACTACTTCAGTTTATTATCTATTGTACTGGAGTGTGTGAGACACACATCTTAACTTAACTTATTTAATCGATGAAAAATCCGTGTGCCAAAGTTTAGTTTCCTATTTTCATTTTTATAAACTACACCACTTGTGGTAAACGGAATATTATGTTTGTGCCGACGTACGTAACGCACTTAACATAATCCAGCTTTTATTAAACCGATCGGTTCAGAATCATTTTCTAAATCTGTCCAAGGCTGTCTATCATGTATATCTGTGTTCAAGGTTTCAATTTTTGAAATATTTTGATGAAATTTGTGCAAAGACGTATTCTGCCCCAAGGATGAACGCTGAAAACATCCCCATATAATGCATTGTTTTGAAAAAATATTTCAATTTTCAAACTTACTCGACAAAGATAGCTAAATAATAGTATTTCATCATTCTAAATTGGTGCGAAAACTTTGGACTGGCTGGAGCCATTTTTTGAATTCTCCCAGCAAAACGAAAACTGAAGTTCATGCGGGAAAAAAGCATAATTTTCAATGCTTCACGATGAAAATGATATCATGATACTAGTTTAACAGGGAAAAATTATTTATACCCAATTTAGTCCATTTCGCTCTATTTTTTGGATCCTATCTTACGTAAGGATTTTCATGAAAATTGATACTTTGTAGGGCAGAAATTGATCCATAATAGTAATTTCATATAAAAATAAGAATTGTGTTAGATAATGCGGTGTAGAGTAAGTATTTAATGGTCGGCCTTGTCTGACTATAATGTTCTTATTTGTTTCGGCTATGATGATTGCATAAAACCGGACGTTAAGTTCTCGCCTTCCACTCCGGAATAAATACCTACCATAAGTATCCCGAAAACTTGTCCAGACCAAAGAAAATTAATTGTATCTACTTAATGCTCTTTCCCTACAAATAAAAGTCACCAAGAAGTTTTTGAAACCTTACGTTCCTTGTAATCAAGAAAGATTGTCTATAGCTTTAACGTCAAATTAAGTTCGTATCCAGAATAGGTTCGAGATTTACTTGCCTTGACATGCTTCTTTTTTTTTTCTACAGTACTTACGTACAGTTTAAATTTCATAAACGATCAGATTCGCATCAGAATACTTTTAGATATCTTGCTTTATAATATAACTTTTGATGGCCCATTTAAAAATTCTTCTTTTCTTTATTACCAGCAGTGATAATAAGCTGTAAACCTTATCACTAAAATGCTTCTGTTCATTATTAAGAAAGCAACCGATAAGGACAGACAGATATATATTTTGATTAGATACATTAGTGTTAATGTTAGTTTATGAGACATAACAGTACAGTAAAAAATTTCGATTTTCTTATGATGATGACGTCTTTTCGAAAATCAACAAAGATTTATTAGTTCAATTAAAGTGAGACCATATCTGTTTTACGTATTACATTTGCTAATGCCGCCCTTCAATTTGGAATTTGATCGGATTTTAATCAATCTTTCATACAAGTTTGAAAAAATAATTCACTTTTACTGCCTATAAATTCAATGCTTTTTATATAGTTGGTAGCAAGCTATATAAGCTTTATTCGCGCAGATTTGTCGCGTTTTATAATTTGATTATCATGAAAAAGTTTTTGCCCTTTTTTTTTTTTTTTCTTTTTCTTATTATTAGATAAAAGCAAAGCTTTGATTTATTCGCATTATAGATAGATTAGACATTATCAAATTCAATTTCAACACTTATTGGTTAAAATCTTTTCAATTCTAAGGAGTTTATTTTTGGCTGCCCACCTTGGCAGCTGCGAATATTTGTGCACAAGTGAAATTTAAAGTTGAGTTATAGACAATAAAAACAAAAGTATATGAAAAAAGAGAAAAATGACTACGGAATCAAATAAAGGTAATAGAAATGGAAAAGCCAAAGGCAAGCAATTTCTTTTGAAACTTAAATACTCTCCAAAATCTGAATGATACGTTGTCCTCGTTTAACTTTTTATCGCAACTTTACTATGAAACTATAGCAAGAAAGGGTAAAGTTTCCTATTTCAATACGGAATAGAAAATGCATACAAGTTTCGGAATTTTTTCAACGTTTTAATGAACACTTGTGTTCAATCTTGACGCCTTACATTACATCTTTCACATAAGTGAACAATAGCGCGTCTTATGAAAAATTCGAATGGTTCTGTGCCATTAAGATATCAAAGTGCGAAGTGAGTGAAAGAATAATTTGCGAGAGTTTTGCGGCTATAAGTTCTTAGACTATCATCATTTCAATGCGGATGGAAAGAGGAATACGCGTAACTACATTTTTCATGCATAGACCAAAGATTGAATCCTTTCCACAGGAGAAGTGCAGTCGAACAACACAGTGATAATCGACAAATGCGATTTTACTTGCGCTATACGCTACTGTATAAATCACATCCAAAAAGGCAAGGCGAAGAGTTCCACTTTTGGTTCAACGGTTTCCTTACTAAATAGAACTGATGCAATCGGCAGATTGGCAGATAGCTTATCAATAATTAATTAATTATATGCACGAGTAATTCTGTGTGGTGAACAGTGTATGTTGTCGTTTGTAAATAATTTTCAAACATATGAGATGAGTCATTAACAGGCATTTGCCACATACATGAGTAGATAAGAGTCGCTACCATCAAATCGATGTTCAGGTGTTTACATCTCACCGCGGTTTGATGATCAAACATGATTGCCGCTACAGCAACTAATGCTGCGTACAGGCATAACACTTATCTATCGGATTCTCACTCGATCTACTGGGGTCAGTTTCTCACCCCCCATCTCTTTGTCTTTCCCCATTTCTTTTTTATCCATCATCATTTTCGTGTTACACATATATATATATGTGTGAGGGTACATCCCTCGCATGGTCAGTCGTAGAAACAAAACTTGCTAGTCAGGCTACTTTATGAAAAATTGGGTGCCTCTGGCCTTTGATTTCGAGAACACAATGCGCAATTTTGCACAGCCAGCAAAATAAAGTCGCAAAGTTCTGTGCGGAACGTTCCTAATAAAGTCGAAATTTGAAACCTTAAGGGAAAACCTTGTATTGCCGCGAATCGGGATGAAACATATAAGATTATGTGAAAATATTGTCGTCATCGCAGATAGCACATGTGTTCTTTACCTTATGGAATCTAAACAACACCCATAGGACCTCTACTTTTTTGGTTATTGTGGTTTTAGTTAAATTTTAAGTAGTCGAGCGATTGAGTTAGTGTTAGTTATTTTCAAACGTCGCCATGTGAGAGTTTCGTCTATTTCGAATTCTGCCAAGGGTTAGTACGAGCCTAATATTTCATTCGAAAACTAATATTTATGATTGTGATAATTTTTAATGCTTTCGGAAAGCAAGATATCTGCAAAATATTTAGCATTCTTGCTTTGTGGGATTTCACTATCATTTATTTGTTTTGTTTAATTACACGCTACACCACTTGTGCTAGAAAGTGTATTAAGATTGTGTATATGACATCCAAAAGGGATTGAAATAGACCCGTCTTTTATCCTATTGGTCCTTTCAGAATAGTTTTCTAAATCTATGTAAGCTTTTCCGTCCGTCTGTCGGTCTGTCTGCCTTGTTTCCCTGTGTTCCGGCCTACAGGTCGCATTTCCGAAATATTTTGAGCAAATTTACTGAAATACTGCCGTGTTTTGGCCCGAGGACAAATGCTATTGACAATGGTTCGAATCGAATCGCTTACCACTAACACCTTACCTTGAAAAGTGAAGATATATGGATAACTGAAGAGTGATGCGCGCTGTGCCTCAGCATAATGTTTTTAACTGTTTTTAGTTTAAATTATTTTTAACTGGCTTTCTTTTATCTTTCATAATTGTTTTTATTTTTTTTTATTTTTTTAATTCTAGTTCCCGTTTTGGGTCAAAGGCATCTACAAATCTTGTTATTGTTTCTTTCGATTACCGTTAATTTTATCGCCAAATTTAATGCGGGTGTCTCAGTAGTGGCCATGACCAATGCCGACACTACCAATCCAGATTTTCCGGTAAATTAAAATCAAAAGAATTTATGTATGAAAAATGTTCTATAAATTGATCTTTTCGGTTTACCTAAAGGAATACGATTGGAATGAAATGGAAAAATCTTTCATATTGTCGAGTTTCTTCTGGGGCTATTTTGTTACGCAATTTCCGGGCGGTTATCTTTGTCGTCGTTTCGGTGCTAAGCTAACTATGTTCGTTTCGACATTGGGTTCGGCTTTGTTTGCGCTACTCATTCCTTTGACAGTTGACTGGGGTGGTTGGCAGATTTATTGTGGTATGTGTGTGTGAAATAAGAAATTCCATATATAAGAAAATTTCTCTGCATTTTTCTAATGGTTTCACTAATTCTTTTAATGATTCCCTTTATTATTTATATATTAATTTAATTATTTATTTTTTTAATACTTTATTAATTGAGTGCTTATGTGTGTGTGTGTGTATTTTTTGTTTGTTTCATTATTTATCCATTTATTTATTTTTTATTTAATTCTTGACTTGTTTCTTTATTATTCATTTATTTACGTATTTACCTGTTTATATATATATATTATTTATTTCTTTTTATTAAGTTATTTATTTCTTAATCTTTATTTTTCTTAGAATCTTCTTCTTTATTATTATATTTACATTATAAGTATACGTTAATTTATATTATTACATTTAAATAACAAACGCATCGCAAAATAAGCCTTACACTGGGGTAATTCCGTTACAATAACAACAATAATAATAATAATAATAAATATAAGAGAAAAATTGCAGTCGCCTATGGTTGAATAGTTTGTACTCACTATCTTTGTCTTGAAAACTTTTAAGGCAAAAATTGAATTTTGGTGCTTTAAGGTGGGCGTGACCGATTTTTTCCATTTGCATAGATACATTCTAGGATCACCAATAGAATTTTGCCGGAAATTTTAATCGTTTTATCTATTTTTATATATACGAAAGTTGAGCTTTCAAACGGACAGAATGTTGAATTGACAGACATGCTTATATCGATTCAGAATTTGACACTGACCAAGAACACCTACACTTTATAGGATTTTTGAAGATTTCCTCTGGATGTTGAAAACGGTTTGACGAATTCTTCGCATTCATCGCATTCTTCGCTGATGGGTACACTAGTCATAACAATATTAACAACATATAACAACAACAAGCATGAAAATTATATTCGATCATGATGATCATGGGCGCAGCTGATTTTTCCTATTTTCAGAATAAAAGTGAAAATTTATATGGTGTATGTGTTGTACTTTACGACTAACAAGCAAAAAGCCCGAGAAAGGAAAAGTGTTCACAGTCTGCGTTACGTAGGCGTGTGGACATGTTGTAGGCGTGTCCCTTTCAAATTTACTTGCAATCTTATAGGCGATTGGGAACGGGACAAGCTTGACATCGGAGATTACACAGACGGACAGATGGACATCTGCACATGTTTAAATCGATTTAGAATTTCATGCTGATCAAGAATATATATAATTTGTGAGGACCGTGAAGCTTTCTTCTGCGTATTCCCAACGTTTTGACAAAACGAATCATTCTTCGGGGATGGGTATAACAATAGTAAAAATAAAAAAGATCAATTATAATAATAATAATAATAATAATAACATAAAATTTGGTTCAAAAACACGCTTCAAATTAATATTTTTATTCAAAAAAATCCACGCTTTTAAAAAATATTTATATATATGTTTTATGTTGCCCAAATTTAGTTTTAGAATTGGAAATATCCACGGTTGAACGCCCTACACTATTTTATAAAAAGAAGGTCTTATATAGTGGGCCGATTCGAACCGTTTTCAATAGTGTTCATCCTTGGACCAAAACATGTCTGTCTACCAAATTTCATCAAAGTTTCTTGAAAATAACGACCTGTAAATCGAAAGGAAGAAAACAAGACGAACCAAAGGACAGACACGCTTACATCAAAACAAAAAGTGACTCTGAATCGGTATAATAAAATCTGGATCTACCTTAAGTCCCTCTGGGTGTTGCATACATCCTCTAAAACTTAATATATCCTTGTACCACAACTGGCTTATGGCATAAAGACTTATTTTAATGCGCTTTATACGCACTTTATTAAAGGTCCAATACAATCCATCAAGAAATTATAACAAGTGTGTTATTATTTGTTATCTTTGTTTGTTTTCACAAAACTTGTTGTGGCGCAAAAAGAATTTTTTTATATATTTTAATGAAATTTGCATATTTTTTTAAATTTCCTTTTATTAAATCCTTGCAGGTATACGTGTATGTCAGGGCTTATTTCAAGGTCTTTTGTTTCCGTGTATACATGCTCATCTGGCGGCGTGGTGCCCTGTGCAGGAACGCAATCGTTTGGGTGCTCTTGCTAATACGGGCATAGAATGTGGCACTGTATTGGCGATGTTCTTGGGCGGCATAATAGCAGCTTCTAGCATGGGCTGGCCTGGTATATCTTATGTTTCATGTGCCTTAGGGGTGGCCTGGTGTATAGTATGGCTGATATTCTCTGCCAATACACCCTCAGAGTCGAAATTTATATCGGCGCCAGAACTGGCTTATATAGAGAGCTCGAAGAATGCTGAAAGGAATATGACGAATGATAGTGGCACGAAACCTGCACGTATACCGGTGCCTTGGAAAGCTATCATGGCTTCATGGCCTTTTTGGGCCCTGTTGGTGGCACGTTCTTCTCAATCTTGGGGATTTTCTACATTACAAGCGGAAATACCCTCTTATATGAATGGGGTCTTAGGCATGGACATGAAATCGAATGCATTCTTTTCGGCTTTACCTTACTTCGTCATGTGGTGCATGTCCTATGTTTATCTGATATTAGCCGATGTCCTCCTACAACGGAAACTTCTTTCGCTAAACGCTTTAAGGAAAACTTTCAATAGTTTGGCATTTTGGGTGCCAGCTATTGGTTTAATAGCTGTCGGATTTGTAAATGAGAATCAACGAACTTTAGCTATAGCGTTAATGACGGCTAATGTAGGCATTAATGCTGGCTCGACTATAGGTAGTGCCTTAAACACTATCGACTTATCGCCAAATCATGCCGGTATACTTATGGGTATTGTAAATACTTCCGCTAATGTAATACCAATTTTAACACCATTGTTGGTAGGTCTTATAGTGAAAAACGAGGTAAGCTTTGCACATGAAATAAGTTAAAGACATTGTTCAATCTCTGTGTTTTTTTTTTCGCAATTTCAGGATGATCGTACCGAGTGGCAAATTGTTTTTGTGATATCAGCTTTAGTTTTCGGTTTAGGTAATTTATTCTTTATTGTTTTCGGATCGACACAATTGCAACCTTGGGATGATGAGAATTATCTGAAATCAGCGTCAAATAAGCCAAATGAAACAAATGAAGAAGACTGTCCCACAAGTAGTGTACAGTTGAGCAAAAGATATTGAATTAGTTTATAAGTTTTTTTAAGTTAAAAATGAAACCGAAAATGCAAGTTTAATATTAAAATTTAAGCGGCAGGTCCGTTAGAACTAAATAAAATTTATTAAGTGAAAATGATTTTTAAAAGAATTTGTTCATATTATTTCTTTCAAATTTCGATAGAATCTTAGAAAGGTTTGTATCTAGAATGTCATATGCCATGGAAGGACCAGACATTTATATATTTGTTAATGGAAAGTGTTTAGCTTTTCTAATGGGATTTTCTGATAAAGCTACCAGTTAGTTACTGCCTTAAGAGACTTAATAAACAAGTTTGTTGCTTTCAAATATTTGGCAATAAAAACAATTAAAACATATAAGAAAATTATAATCGGTTGCCACTGGGTCTTGTATACCCATATCCGCTATTCTATTCGAGATAGGAAAAAAAGAAAATATATCAATTTGCTTACTCTATATTATACGGTATTTTTTAAATTTGGAATGCATCTAAGCATGTCCCTCTGTTCGTTTGTCCATCTGTCCGTCTTCTCAATCGGGTAGTATTCTCCTGTTGAAGAGAAGGAAGTAACCCAAACTTTTAAATGGACATGTCGACAACACCCTCACGCCCATGTGCCACGTGGCGTTCTATTTTGAAAATAGAAAAAATCAGCCGTGTCCACTCCACATTGTAGGGGATGAAAATTTAGTTCTTTTACTTTTTGTCTTTTTTACGAAAACAATGATGGTTATAAAAGATTCGGTGGCGACCGAATATTATTTTCTTACTTGTTTTTTCTTTAACGATTGTGCGATTTATGGTCTTTACATCTTCTATTATTAGTAGTGTTGTTACTGTTATGATTATTATTATTGTGGTTGTTGTTCTTATCATTATTATCATTATTATATTCTTCTATATATAGCATAATCGGTCGAAGTGGCAATTGGTTTTCCTAACAGCCGCTCTTGTGCTTTTTCTGGAATATGTGATATGGGATTCGGGCAAAACTCAAACTTGAGATATTGACACTTTGTGTTAAAAAAAGGAAAGGAAGAAGAACAACACTGACAGTGATAGAAATAACAAATGAATACTTAATTAGACCTAAGTCGAAGAATTTAGAAACAGCAAAGGTTTGCGTCTAGAATATAATATGCGATAGAAAGCCCAAGCATTAACATAGTTTTTAAGACAAAGTGTTAAGCTTTTCTAACGGCATTTTTTAATAAAGCTACCAGTTAGTTACTTACTTAGTTAGCTAAGAGACTTAAGAGATTTTATAAACAAGTTTGTTGCTTCTAAGTATTTAGCAATAAAAACAATCAAAAAAAAAAAAAGGTTTTATTTATTAATCGACTGTTGTTAATCTTTTGTCGACATATTTTAGATAAGAGGGCTTTAAATTTTTTAATAAGAAATGTAATTGTTTATCTCACTTATTAGTTTACGTTTATCTCTCATTGAAAACGTTTCGTTCAATAGAAAAAATTCTAAGAAATAAAACATGAATAAAATTATTTGATTTTGCATAAAATAATTTAAAAAATATTAAAAAATTTCATTGTCTTTAATAATGGCTGAGGTGACAAACAACATTAACAACATCAATAGCAATAATGACAATAATAAAGGTAGAGAACTGGAACAAAACAACAGTTGTTTACTAGTTGTAAGCGAGCAAAAATTATTTTTTGAATTCGTTTTTATTCGCGTCCAAGAAAAACAATCGGTTAATTATGATTAGCCTCATAAAGTTATAGACTGATAATGAAATTTAATCAATGGCATTTATTATGGCGTTTTCAAATCAGCTCTAGAGCTTTCTCTTTTCATGAAGCACCTTTTGCTGCTAAAACGTCAAACGATGTCTGCTAAAAAGTGATCGTGACGAAACAATTGCTTAACCTATCTGCTCCCTCTTTCTCGAATTTTTTCTGATCATCGACGTCTTACACGTGATTCGTCAAATGAAAAAAAAAAATCATCATGTAATTGTCAAAAGGTACGGTTCATCAATATTAAAGATAAGCCAAAGGGTCCTTCATGTTTAGAACTATGCAAGTATATTACAACATTTTCAATTTAAAAATTCAAAAATTCTTCTTCAAACCGAAAATTCTTTGGCTATAGTAAAAACCGTAAAGCTAATCCGAGCACAAGATAAAATTAGTTTATGTTTCTTGCTTAAATATGCCGGGCGATGCGATATCCTTACATTTTCTTATCAATATATATGTGGAGTGTTAAATAATTTCTGAAGGATCTTACGCTATATTAATAGCAATTACTGCACCTTTTTATTAAAATATTCCAGTTTCTAAATAATCGCTGCTTATAGATCCTCGGTTGAAAACGCAAATTTTTTGGATTTGAAAATTTGCAACGACGATCTCAAGCTTACCACGCTGTGTCTTTCAAGCCGCGGTGGTATAGAATGATTCCTAAATAATATTTGTGAAATTAATTGATTATCGAAGTTATCGAGCCCGATATTTTCGTATTCTTCGTGCATTAATTGCTTTGCGTTTATTTTCAGTGCCCACCTTTGGTATGCGTTACGTTCAAGCTTTGTTGATTTTCCTAAATATTGTTGTGATTTATATAAGTCGGTTTAACGTTGGTATAGCAGTGGTAGCCATGACAAATGCTGAAACTACAAATCCCAATTTTCCGGTAAGTCTCACATAAAACTACCTACTGAGTAAATGTTTTTTTCAAATATTTTTTTTCGACTATGTCTTACAGGAGTTTGATTGGTCTGAAAAAGAGATGTCTTTCATTATATCCAGCTTTTATTGGACATACGTTTTAACACAGTTTCCTGGTGGACCGGTGTGCAAACGTTTTGGTGCTAAGGCAACTATGCTAGTCTGTACCTTATGCTCGGCTATATTAAGTGCTTTGTTGCCCTGGAGTGTTCTAAAAGGTGATTGGAAGGCTTATTGTGCGGTACGCTTACTTCAGGGTTTATTTCAGGGCATGTTATTTCCTTGCATACATGAACACTTGGCTAAGTGGTCACCGCCGCATGAAAGAAATCGTTTAGGAGCACTTAGTCATACAGGCATTGAGTGCGGTTCTGTTTTGGCTTTGGGTGTAAGCGGTCTTATTGCCGAAAGCCCTTTAGGATGGCCAGGTATATCTTATGTATCCGCTGGTCTTTGTTTCGCTTGGTGTATTTTGTGGTACGTATTTGCGGCTAATAATGCAACGGAATCGAAATTTATAACACACAGAGAAATGAAATATATTGAAACATCTTTAGCCCGTTCGGAAGATTTTCATAAAAAGAAAATTCCAACACCTTGGAAGGCTATAGTATGCTCTGTACCTGTCGCCGCAATGCTAACAGCTAAGTGTGCAGAAGGTTGGGGTCTATCCATAATGCAATCTCAAATCCCGTCATATATGAATGGTGTCCTAAACATGGCGATTAAAAGTAATGCACTATTTTCCGCTTTACCTTTTCTGGCCATGTGGTGTATGTCGTATGTGTACCTAATAGCTGCTGATATAATGCAAAGAAAAAAGGGATTGAGTTTAACGAGCATACGTAGAATAACTAACTCATGTGCTTTTTGGATATCGGCTGTGGCTTTAGTAGGAATAGGTTTTCTCGATGAAGGCCAGAAACCATGGGCTATTGCAATAATGACCGTGGCAGTGGGTGTTAATAGTGGATGTACAATTGGATGTATTTTAAATCCCCTCGATTTATCACCTAATCATGCTGGCATACTAATGGGTATCAGTAATGCCTTTGGTAATTTAATGCCTCTTATAACACCATTGGTAGTGGGGGTTATCGTTAGTGATACCGTAAGTTCTTGGAATTATTATTATTATTACCGTTATCATCGTTATATTCTTTTGTATATAGCATAATCGGTCGGAATGGCAATTGGTATTCCTAATCGCTGCCATTATATTTTTTGTGGGTAACACGATTTACATAATATGGGGTACGGCCGAAACTCAACCATGGGATGCTGAAGACTTTTTATTAAAAAAGGATTTGGAAAGCAATAGTAAAAGTGATAAAAATGCAAAATGAAAATTTAATAAAATCAATATGAAAATCTAATAACCTTGCGACAGAAATTTATGAATTTTCCCAGGATAAGATATCAGATATCAGCAAATGAAGCTATTTGGCGTACCAAGAAAAGGGCGTCATCATCAAAAGTGTAAGGCATAAATAGGGTTGGTCGGCCCGAGAATATAAGTGAAGCGATTTTATTACCTCTATATTGTCAATCAATCCATCTCTCTGTGCACTCAAAATTATCAAATTCGATACTAAAAAAAAAAACAAGTAAGAAAATTAAATTCGTTCGGAAACGAATCTTTTACACTGTATCCTTTACCTTATCTTAAAAAAGACAAAAGAAGTAAAATAACTAAATTTTCATGCTCTATACTATGGAGTGCATAGAGCTGATTTTTTTCTATCTTCAGAATAAAAGTTTTTATCGTATAGGCATGTGGTCGTTGTAGGCGTCAATACCTACCTACCTGCGAGAAATTCTAATATTTTTGCCTAATTTAAAGTCCATTGCTGTCATGAGAATCTTTACAAAGGACATTCTACAAACGAACAGACGAACAACCGAACAAACGGGCTTGCTTCAACCGACTCAGAATTTAAGGCTTTGTGGAGACTCTGAAGCTTTCTTCTGGGTGTTGCAACCGTTTTAACGAAATGAATATATTTGTCAGCTTTCGGTAATGGGTGTAAAAATGATGTAGAAAATGGTTCAGATCGGATTATGTTTTCGACCGTTTCCCATATAACGCCTTATTTTTAAAAGTCGCTATACGAATAATTGTAGGGGATGTAGGGCAATTAATAATGCGCCAGGGCCCACTATAGTGTTGTTACTTGTTCACAATTGTAGATGTTAAATAATGTATTTTATTTTATTATAAGCAATGATCGGTGGGAGAATATTTTTTTGAATTAGTCTTACGTTAAATGCCGTAGAAGCAAAAAAGCGTCAGTTCCTAAAATGTTACGTTTTATAAAACTTTGGATTATATGAAGATAGTTAATAGTCGTGTGCAGCAATGAAATATACGTACGTATGTATGATGTACACGTGAGCTTTGGCAGAAGATATAAACAAATATACAATAATTGCCGAAGTCAATAAGAAATTAGGCAGCGACTATCAAAAACTTCTTGGCGACCGTGTATGAACTCATAAAAATATTAAATGTGATTTATGGTCAACGCGAAGTGGGGAAAGGTTCGCAATGGTCTTCGTTTCAAGTCTTAATGCATCGAGTGAATATAAAAAGTGATAAACAACCATTTCTAATAAATCGTTTAAAATTAGTGGACGTTCTTTAGTAGCGGACTAATGAATTCATCAAAAACGATTTGAAAATTAGAAAATGATAAATATATTGAATTAGAAAAGCAAGAAAGAAAAATCTCGAACGAATACATTTATGAAAACAATTCAAATTATTTTAGTGGATAAAAGTGAAGTTAAATTATTTCGGTAAAAAAAATTAAAATAAAAATTAAATTTGCAGTTAAATCGAAAAAGTGAAAAGGAAAAATAAAACATAAACAACAATAAAAAATAATAAATTGTTTTAATTAAACGCAAATGAACAAATGGAAGCAGTGAAGAGCAAAGGTATTACAAATGTTTATAATGAACTTTTGTGAACGAGTAAATTACCTTAAGTAAGGACGAAAAAAATAATCGATTTATTTCGTCGCAAGTTTTATTTATCAGATAGTCTAAAAAGTATTGAGCTTTCATATACATCATGCTGCAAGTGAGGGCAAACTACAAGACAATCGAAATTAGACCTGAACACCATAAGTGGGTTTTGGATTTCACTGCGATAAGAAAGCAAATTCTTATAGGCTCGTGATAAAACATGTTGTGTTGGTGGAAGTTTGTGATTAATGACGTTTTACCAAATTGCGAACAAAGCGTTAATAAATCACCTACGTCCAATAAGCAGGAAGCTTGCAAACGATTAAAACTTTTATTAGTAGGCTTTGCAAAAATATTTGCTGTCGATCTTTATTTAAGAGCAGCTGTGTTGAAATGTGAAACTGGCCAAATTTTGATCGTTTTGCTAATGACTTCCTAACAAGGAACCGAAGAACAACCGTAACAATTCTGAAAAGATTTTGTTGTCCACGTCACGTCAGTTTCCGTCAAATTTATTGATCTAAACCACTTTCAAACGATCGCCTATCTATATAACAAATTTTTACCTACAAATCATTAAAAATTTTATAGTGAAATGGTCATTGAACCGCATGATACACAATCGGTTTCCTGGTATTGTTTATCAATAGTAATAATATATTTTATTACTTTATATCTTTTTTGTTACTTTTAATTGGAATACTTTTCAGAAGACCTACTCTATGCACCTGTTGCATATTTATTTTTTTTATTATATCACTCATCACTCAGAGCACGGCCATGATTCGTGTAATACGGGAACGGTCGGAAAGAAATGACGAAAGGCAAAGAAATAGGGACGCAGCTGCCGCATAGTGGTTGTGTGCGACCTAAACAAATTCTGACAGACTTGGTAGTCAGTATTCGTATCTACTCAGCTACTCATACGCGGTTAATGAACTAATACATGAATTATTTCACGCTCTGGGAAACATTGTGACACACATAAAGCGCAAATAATGCACACACCAAGTGAAGCTTTGCAGTTCGCTCCTTACTTGAGTTTCTGGAAAAGATTTTGTCAAGCCGCTATTCAGTTCAATTCGCAACTTTAGACATATTGATGACGTTTAGTTCCCTTTCGGTTATGTTCTAACAACAATAGAAAGGCAAAGACTTTTTAATATTTAACTTCTTGTAATAAATTAAATGAAAAATCAACGAACAAACATTTACCTTCAATTAATACCTGTCTACCTGTTTAAATATTAGGAAATTGCAAATGTATATAAATACCTACTCTAATGTATATAAAGATTAGCTATCACAAGGTAATCAATGCATTTAGCAAATGAGTGCAAGAATAAAAAAAATAAAATATATATAAAGCAAAATATAAAAATAAGTCAAGAACGTGCATGGCGTTAATATTCCCATTCCCCTAACCAAAACAAGAATCGCAAATGTATTTAATAATCGTAATTTTTTATTACTTACGATCGTGCAGTGGTAATGGCCCGCTTACGTAAAAATTTCAACTTATCTCGATAAACATCGTTCATTATAAATTGTAAAGGGCCACAGGTTGGAAAATACGAAAAGAAATATTTTGAAATTTGGGGTTTTCTACTCACGCTTGTACGTACGCTTACGATATATCAATGTCTACTTGTAGATGGGGTCGATCCAATTCAATAAAGAATTTATATACAATTGTACCTGACGGCAAGATTAGGACATAGATGCGTAGACAGATAGACGTGTCGGGAACTGGGCGGTTGATCAAAATTATAATTCTTTTACCTGCACTGGCACTCATATCGTAAACTATACGCAATGAAATAAGTAAATTAATATATTTTCACTTTTTGGTGCTATATAAATATTATGGGGTACAAATAAGTTCGTTCGTGTACCTATAGTTATGCTAAAGTGTACACAATATGGTTGCTTGAAGCTTCGAATAAGTTCGGTGCCAAAAAAATTGGAGGAAACTTTGCTTTTTCTGCTTAATTCGAAGGATAGTGCTGCCAGAACCGTACTTGTGATGATGTGTCTCGATATCGAAATCCCAAATAACCGGGAGTGGGCGGACCATCCATGGCGGTTCCATTTGGCTGGGCCGGGAGGATATGGTGTGTGGCAGTTTGGTCCAACCAAATGAAACAATAACTAAGTAGTGCCAACAACAATAATAGACACAGAGCGCGATATGTCAAAAGTCACGATATCGTGAGAGTTCAATATGGAAAACTTCGGTCTCTTGCTTGCTTTAACTCCAATGACGACATCTAATTGCGGGTTCCTTTTGGGGGTTGGCTTAAAAAATGAGGCATTTCGAGAAAATTTTCTAGCACATGGGAAAAAGTGGAAGCTAAACGCTAGACAATATTTTGATTAAACTGTTCATGCATCTGAATCAATACTATAAGCAAATGATAGTCTTCAAAATCATTGATAAATAACTCGATAATGATAGACATCTTTCTGCGCCATATGTAAAATTTTTATTTAAAGTACTAAGCCCAGAAAACATTAGCACTAAATGTATTGCAATATCGTTTATACTTTTAGGTCCTAAGCTGGGTGTGCGTCATTTGCAGACTCTGCTATTATTTTTTGACATCGTTGTCGCATATATGGCTCGTTTAAATGTAGGTGTGGCCGTGGTAGCGATGACCAATGCTGAAACCTCAAATCCTGATTTTCCGGTAAGTGTTGATTTCTGAGTTAATTAAAATTTTTTATAAATTTTTTGCATTCTTTAGGAATTTGATTGGGATGAAAAGCAAATCTCCTACATACTCTCGAGCTTCTTCTGGGGTTATGTCGCTACGCAATTCGTTGGTGGTTCTTTGTGTAAACATTTTGGCACAAAACTGGTGATGACTGTCTCGACATTTGGCTCAGGATTGGGTAGTGCTTTAACACCTTTATGTGTAATGAAAGGTGGTTGGCAAGCGTTTTGTGCAATTCGCGTCGCAACGGGTTTGTTTCAGGGCATGATGTTTCCCTGCATACATCAGCATTTAGCCAAATGGTCTCCACCGGATGAAAGAAATCGTTTGGGTACTCTTAGCCATACGGGCATTGAATGCGGCACAGTTTTGGCTTTAGGTGTTAGTGGTATAATAGCGGAAAGCTCTCTCGGCTGGCCAGGAATATCTTACGTATCGGGTGGCTTGTGTTTTACATGGTGCATATTATGGTGGATATTGGGTGCCAATAACGCCAATGAATCGAAATTTATTAGTAAAACTGAACGAGATTACATTGAGTCTTCTTTAGTAAGAGCAGAAGATTTTCATCAAAAAAAAATTCCTATACCGTGGAAAGCTATATTCACATCGAAACCATTTTTGGCATTATGCGTAACACGCTGTTGCGCCGTCTGGGGCTTATCGACAATGCAACATCAAATTCCTTCTTACATGAACGGTGTCTTGAATATGGAAATCAAAAGCAATGCTTTATTCTCTGCTTTGCCCTTCTTAGCTATGTGGATTCTATCATACGTGTACGCTTTGGCAGCAGAAATCATACAACACAAGCAATGCATTAGTCTGACGGCTTTACGAAAGTGCATTAATACCATGGCGTTTTGGTTACCTGCTATAGGTCTGGTAGGAATTGGTTTCCTAGACGATGATCAGAAAACTTTAGCGATTACTCTAATGACTCTATTGGTGGGCCTTAACAGTGGCACAATTATTGGCTGCACATTAAACACAATCGATTTGTCGCCTAATCACGCTGGCATACTAATGGGTATCGCTAATACGACAGTAAGTTTTATGCCCATTATAACACCTCTTGTGGTTGGCGTAATTGTAACAGATACGGTAAGAAATTGTTTATTGACCTAAGAAAGAAGCAGGAAATATTTAAAAATTATTATTATTTTTATTTTTTTATCATCGATTTAAAAATTACAGCATAGTAGGACTCAATGGCAGTTAGTTTTCCTAATAGCTGCCTCGATATTCTTTGTGGGTAATGTGATTTATCTTATTTGGGGCACAGCTAAAACTCAACCTTGGGATGCGCAAGATTTCTTGGCCACCAAACCCAAATCAAGTTCTGCTAGTAATGATAAGACGAACACAACTTCCTTGGAAAGTAGTGATCATGTAAAAAATAGCTAATAAATTACAAAAATTTAATTCATTTTTTAAAAACAAAAAACAAAAAAAAGGAATACAAAGGAAATATTAATTGCATTTCGCAAAGTAGAGTAACAAAAGTTGGACTCACGGAAAAGTAAAAACTAATTACCTGCATCACTAATAAAAAGGTAAACAAGTCTCGTCTCGTAAGGCTATCACTAGAAGGACCCTTATTTTGGCATCCTCATAAGATTCAAAGCATCGTTCGAGTAAACAATAAATAATCTATTGGAACCAGCTGTAATATCTGCTGACAACAGCGGGGAGCACATGCTAGGTTCGAACTGTAAACATTTCCTGAGCGAGTTTTCCTACATTGAATTGAATTCCTTCACACTAAAAACTCATTGTATCATGACTTTTGGTCTTTTTATTTTTCATATGTTGTTTATATAGGTAGAGGTTTAATTTTCAGTTGGAATGAAAACGGTTTAAGAATAGTAAGTTTATGAAAACGGAAATTTGTTTCACTTAACCATAAATGTGATCGCGGTATGGTTAAGATGCAAATTCTTTAAAGTAAGGAGCACTGTTAAATATTCTACACAAATTCGCTTAGTGCAAGTATCTTATAAACATTAGAATATCTGAAATTCTCGCATGCGAAAGCTTATTTTTTCATGAGAGAAAAGCGGTCTGCAAATCAACCTAAGTAAGCCAAACTTTCATTTATATGCTAAAGTGCTATTCTGTATGGGTTTTCAGCACAAAAAATTAAAAATTAACATTTATTGCGTATTAAATTATAATTTGTAGAAACATTGGTAAAAATGAGACTTGAAAGAGTGTCCCTCTTCCATCTCAGTTCGTTACGCGCAATCAGAATGCGAAAGTGCCAATATTCACGGTTTTTCGCAAAACGTAAAAAATGGGAAAGGTTTTTTATATAGTGACTTTTCTAAAACAGGGAATGGAAATAGTCGTAAACATGGTCCAAATCGATCAAGAGAAAATTGTGTCTTCATACGAAATTCTATGAAACTATCATGAGATTGTGACCTATAAGTTGAACAGAAAAATATATGCGGAGGGGTAGAGACACGGACAGTCAAACTGATACAAATTCAGAAAACTGTCCTACCCTGTCTAGGGTATAATAAAAGTGAGGCTCTTCTTAAGTCTTTCTGGTTTTTTGCGTTTAGACGCAAAAATGTTACGTAACAATTTACAGCAAAATATTATAATAAATACAATAAATTTTAAACATGTCGCGAAATATTTATAAATGTATTTTTTTATTTGTTTTTAATTAAACGATATATAGTTTCCAGAAAATTTATTTATTACAGTAAATGTTTGTCACTGCGTTAACGCCATGAATAGATTAACATATTTCCGCTTTGTCGTCCTTGTTCAATTTGCTTTATAAATATGTTTAAAGAACGATGGCAAATTTTATTACTAGTTAATATGCAAGACACAATTATATTTTGAAAATATGACAAAATTTTTAAATAGACCTTTTATGGTTATGACCTACACCACCTACGTACTACAAATTCTTCATTGCATTTGTAACAATAGCGAACGGAAAATACCATAAACTTGTTACGTAAATGATGATAAGAATATCCTAATTGAATTTCTTGATCTTGCTTCTTTATCTGCGTCCACGCTGTCTGTTAATTGTTTCGTTGTTAGAATTCGCAGTAAGCGCAAATATTGAGATAAGAAAGATGATAGTTATGTACATGTGTTCCTCATTGATCTATGTGTTTTAAAGATGCAAATTTATCTCATGATAGAATTTGCTAACACAGATTTGTTTTTCTGTTATCTGTTTTCAAGAAATTATTTTTGTATATATATCCTTTATACATATAATTGCAGCGCCTATGCTGGCCAAACCGAAAGATATGTACCCTAAGGTCCATCAGAAATCAGAAATTGAATTATTTTAAATTCCGGATTATTTTTTACTCATCAGAGAGGGGTGGCCTTGTATTCACTTCCACAAAGCGCTTGCAACATTCAGAAGGAAGCTTCAGAGAACCTACATAGTAGATATGTTCTTGACTCTGTGGACTTGTGTGGCAAACTTTTTACAAGTGAGTTTGTATGGAAAATCGGCAAAATCAATCAAATGACACCCCACCGTTCAACACGAACTGAGAATACCTCTGTTTTCGAAGTCAAAAAGAATGATTTAAATAGCAAAAATTCCTGTGTCTTTTATAGGTAATTCTACAGTATCTGTACAAAAATTGCAAAGACTCACGATCACTCAATAATATTGGGTATCTAAATTACCTATTTTTGGGGTTTTTTTCTACCGTACACCGTTGTGTTACGCGTTGTGCGCACAGTAACACGCAGAAAGATTGAAGAAACGTAGACACACCTTTGTTACACCAATCCATGCTTGTCCGTCTGTCTGTCCGTCTGAGTTCTGTTCATGTATTTATGTGCTCAAGCTACAGTTCGCAATTTTCTTGATATTTTGATGAAAATAGATTTTTTGGTCCAAGCATGAACACTAATGAACATAAATCTTATCGGACCACTCCTTCGACCCAGTATGACGACTTATTTTTATAGGTCATTATCAGAAAATAAATTGTAGTTTTCAAAAATCGCTTAGAAATACTGAATTGAAGCGTGAAAACGTTGCATCGGACGGGTCAATATGTTGAACATCTTGTCATGCAATTGTTTTTGCGGAAATTGCATACAGTAAAAATACTTTTTGATGAAAATTTGTTCTTAATAATAATTTGCCATAAAAATAAGGCTTTATGCGCCAAAAAAGTCGAATTTTTAATATATTATGATGAAAATTTGTCCTCAGTAAATCAACCATAGGGAATTCGGATCACATAGATATACTTTTTAGACCTCACCACGTATAGGGATTCTCGTGAAAGTATACCCTTCTACAGCGACGAAGTACAACTTACAATTTGTTATGACGAAAGCAACTGGAAAATCATAAAATCTTTGATAAAAAAATTAGTTAGCTAAGCTTGGACCTCGTTAGTTCACGATTTGAGTAGCCTGTAATATAAACGTCGTCATAAAAATTAAGCCTCTACATAAAAATAATATATTTGATGTAATTTGGTGTTTTATTGCCGAAACGAGTGAACAACTGTATTAGGCGAACTGACGTTGGCCTTGCCGGAACATTTTTGATTGCTTCCTATTTATTTTTTAGGAAAAAGGTGAGGGGTGTAACAGATTCTGTCTCAGCCGGATACAATTTCCTTACATGTTTATCAACATTTTCTTATCTGCAACTGTTATTCACGTTCAATGTAATGCAGTTTGTCTAAGTCCTTGATATGAAAAAGGGTTTCATTGATCTGTTCGGAAGTCCATAACTAAAAAATTTTAATGCATTCACTTGCTTTAATTGATTAGCCGATATTTACTTTAAAGAGAATAAGGTATTTTTACAATTATTTACTAAAAAGTGTTTAAAAAAAATTTTTTTTTACGATTACTCTTCCCACTATGAATACAAATTAGATTTAAATACGAACTTGAATAATTTTGGATTCATTGTTTTTGAAAATTTATGCGTTTAATTCTAATTCAAGCAGTTGCGTCATGTTAGCTTACTCCAAGAACTTGTATTTGTCTTTCGTCTAATATTTTCCTGAGTTTAGAATGAAACGAAGATCTATTCACTTAATGTGTTGTTTGTCAATTATTTCAGATATCAGTCAAGATATATTAGAAAATGTGATATTTAGGCCAGATGTTTGAAAGAATATTTTAATTTCATGTTTTGAAAGAAGACAAGAACCAGTGATTGGATTTATTTGATTTTCAAACTTAATGCAGACGAACTAAAATTTTATTACCAATTTTTAAAAAAATATTGAAAATCCAACTTTGACGTTTAAACCGAATGATCCCACTCTTTAAGCTTTTGATCTGAATGTCAAGAAGCGAATAAATGTCTCTCTCTTCTTTGCTCTGTCCACTGATCCAGAATGTATAAACATTGGAGGTAACCACATGCTATAAGTGTATTTCTACTTTTTAATATATCGCTTGAGCTGGATAGTAAAAGAACTACTTGCATAAGTTGTGTTTGATTACTTAAAAAATTTAAATATAATGATAACGAATGGAAAGTTTAAATGAATTACATAATATATCGCGCACATAAAATATCGTTCATAAGAATTGAAAACGATACACTTGATATCAATGTAAACATCTTTTATTTTTTCACTAACCGATAACTTTGGAAAATTACATAAAGGTAAATGACCGCACAAAACACAAAATAAATATCTTACAATGACAAAGATATTGCGATCTTTTTTCTTACTGCAATATATCACATATATCATGTTAAGCAATTAAGACCTTTTATGATAACCTAAATACTTTATTTGCTCGCATGTTAGTTTTTAAAATTTATCAAACTTCTCAGTGCTTGAAAACAAGGCTATAATTTTAGATAAATTAATTTATTTCGATTTTTTTTTAATGTGTTTTATGATTGATTTATATGCACTTTGGAAACTATTTTAATATATTTTGCATAGATTTTATTAAATATTTATCATTATTTAGTGCTGAAATTGTACGTAAGTAAAGCAAACGAAAAGAAAAATATGTCTGTCTAAGCAGTGTAAATAATTGTTTTAAATGAATAGAAAAAAAATCTTAAAATATGAAGGAAGTTTATACGAACATCTGTAAAGTTTCATTTTACTTATTTTGGTTTTGCTTAAATATGCACAAAATATTTACAAACTACAAATAATTAAGAACGATTTAGAAGTGGTTTTAGTTAGTCAGTGTTGTATGGGGATTTGGTACTGCGACCTGATGGATCTATTGTACTCGCTCATGCCCCTAGTCCTCCAGTCTTAGCATTCTTATGAATCACGCCAGCGTCCTTGGTGGGACACACTAGGGTGCCTGGGGTTGTAAGTTATTCGCCAAATATCTGGTATATGATTCTGTAGATTGGGAACCTCTCACTCGTCGCTTGGCAGAATCTGTTTGAGTCTATTTCCGAAATACTT